AAAGAAATTCGATGCATCACCACGCACAATATGATATCGAGTACATCTGCTGTAAGCTGCCGGAGAGAGAATATTTATATCACCTACATCACGGCAAGTGAAAGTTGTTCATTTCATATGACGGGAGCTAGGGCTCGACCTCCGCATGATTTTACTATAATATCTCCAGTTTAAAATATAACAGAAATGGTATTGAACATGTTCTTCCTCTGAGATCTTCAGCTTGAAATACATCAATAATTTAATTTAACGCGTCCTTTCTCTAAGATCTACAACACAAAATACACCGAGAACGTCACTTAACATTTGTTTCTCTTAGATTTCCATCACAAAATACACTCAGAGCGTTACTTAACATGTTTTTTCTTTGTAAATTTAGCTTAAAATATATCGGAAATGTCACTTAACATATTCGTCATCTTAAAATCTTAAGATAAGTAAAACCTTTAGTTCTTCTGGAATTAAAAAAAGTTATAGACTTTAAAAGTAATTGATAAGTTATTAAGAGTAATGTTACAAGATAGAAACAATTGCCGATGTTTCTTTTAAAATGCTATATGCTCTTAGCGTTTGTTGAAGAGATGCAAGATGGTGACATAGAGGTTTAATAATTGCTCATAAAAATTTATGAAAATATTATCAAATCAGATGAAAACCATATACATATTTGTTTAAAAAATACTTCGCGTTGCGTGTAGGTAGTTAAAACTGCAATATTTTCATAAAAAAAATAGCAATTATAATAAAAATATTTAAACTCTTGCTTTTACNCTTGATCATTCGATTTTAAATTACAAAATCAGACACAAAAACATACTGTACAGGCTAGAGATCGGTCAAAAGTTTGCACCTAGTATATTCAGTGGTTAAAAGCTCCTGTCAACTGATTTAGTCATCTTTAATTTCAATGAAATTTACATCATAAAGTACTGGTTAGTTTATTTTTTTAGTTTTTTTTCGACTTGCAGATTTATTATTTATTTAAGAGGGAAAACACAGAAAATAGAACATTAGGTATCTAAAATTGCGTAACTATTTCATTTTTGGAAAATGTTAATATGTTGTTTCCATCTTTTTCACAATGTGTGCAATACTAAAATAATAGATAACAACCTGAATAACTTTCGATTTAATGATCGGATCTCACTTAACTATGTCTAAATTTTAATCGTTCAATGACTGAACCTTAAATATACTTGCCGGATTACCCATTAGGCCAGACTAGGCCATGGCCTGGGGCCCCCAATGATTAGAGGTCCCTTAAAATGGATTTTTTGAAAATAAATTTTAAAAAAATTTAAAAGAACAGTGATTTTAAAAAAAAATCAATTTCAAATATATATTCAAATTTTTTCAAAATGTTATGATTATTTTTTAGTTCTAATTTGAGAAAATTAAGTAAAATTTAATTTATTAATATTTATTTTTATTTTAAATATGCTTTCTTAAATGAAAAGATGTATAAATACTTTTATATCTGAATAAATAAAAAATATACGAGAGAAAAAATTTAATCTAAGGGCCCCAAGAATTTGAATGGCCTAGGGCCCCGCGTACGCTTAATCCGTGCTTGGATGATACTTTAGATGATACTTTAATAAGATGGTACTTTAATTTTAAGATGATACTTTAAGCCACGAAATCAGACAAAAAAACGCTCGAAAGCGATTGTTCGAAATGTTTGTGCTTAATATACAGTGCCTAAATTTCGTGCCTAATAGTCATTGTTTACGACGATTTAAGAGTCGATTGTAAATTTAACGATTATTTTTATACAGGACGTTCACCATAGAATGCCCTTAACAAAAAACGATACATTTTCAGTTGATATCCATGTTTTTTATTATAGGACGCTCATTATAGAGCATGCTCATCAAAGAACGAACTAAATAATTATAAAACAAAACATTAAGAAACGCTCGCCAGAGGCCGGGATTGCCTGGTGGGTAGAGCGCTGGGCCCATGTCCGAGAGTCCGTGGGTTCGAACCCCGCCGGCCGAAGACTCCCAGTGTAGTAAAGTTACTGATGCACGTTAAATCTGTCGAGACGCAAAAATTCTCCATGTTCCCATAACAAATCAATACCTCTGGGGGTACTGGATTGGAGATCGATCGTTCTCTGATTCAGGTCAAAATTACGGGGTTGTATGTATAGGTCCGCCCTATAAACGGGTGTGACGTATGGTGCGGCAGAAGTCGAATTCTTGGCATAGATCGCGTCACTGGAAAACAAGAACAATCGCACCCCCTCTGCCTAAACAGGCATGCGTCAACAAGAAGAAGAAACGCTCTCTAAATTGACGAACTATCTTTACACGGCGACAACAACAAATTTAGACTTATACATTTAACAGTCTTCAATAATATTCAATGAAATTTCACATCATGAAGTTGTGGTTATTTTATTCATTTATTTTATTTATTTATTTTTTGCTTGCTGATGTATTTAAATTAAAACATTCATGGATTTACTGGGATTTGTATAGCACTAGATTTATAAATACGTATTCATACAGTTTGCAAATTTAGAAGTTATATAATTTTTCAGTTACTGAAGTTAGTTACAGTGAGTTCAGTTAGTTGCAGAATCTAAGGCACCCTGACATTTTAATTTTTAAAAAAACTGAATTGCAATACTTTAAAATATAATTTCAATTTTTCTGGGACCGTTCATAGTCACATTTGAAAGAGAGGGGTTCTCGAAATTGTGATAGTGTATAACTACTGAGAAAGGGTAATATTCCCCAATTTGATTAAAACTAAAATATTTAAAATCAGCATATTAACTAACTATATATGTTTAATTTTTTTCTTATGCTTCTTATCTTTATTATTCTTATTTTCACAAATACCTTTAAAAAATATAATTAAATTTTAAAAATAAAATTTGAAATGTGATCTATGTGTTTGATTGTCCATGGTCTATGTGTTCTATTTGTTTTGTTTCCAAACTGCTAAGCTGTAAAAAATTCTGGATCAAATTACGGTAAAAAGTACCGGTTTTCTCGGTGCTGGTACTTTTTTCCTTAAAATTCATTTTTCCCAAAATCTATAACGGAACAAAAATTCTGATTTACCGTAATTTTCAATTTAATATCACTGAATTACTCTAATTAAATAAATATTACTGTAAAAATTGCAGTATAATATTATACGAAAAATATAGATTTTACGGTAAAATGAATTTTACAAAAGATGCACCCAAAGGTGCCGGTACTTCATACCGTAATTTGATCCGGAATTTTTCACTTATTTGCAGTTGTTTAGATCTGAAAGAAATAATTATTCATCATTGAACTTTTGTTAGTTTGCAAAACCAATTATTGATAAATTTTTAAATACGACTGGAAAAAAAATTTAATTACTTTTTTTGGATTTTATATTTTAGTGCAAATGTAATTCCGATAATCTAACAAATTTTTTTTAGAATACTAGATTTTTTTGTAATGAAAAAATAACAAAATATATTTCTACTTGTAATTAGAGTGTAATAGAATCAGAAAAAAATATGTAAAAGGGTTTCATCTACATCAATGGGTTAAATTTAATTTTTATGTAAAGATATGCGAACATCCTTTTATGGTATACCAAATTTCCAACAAAATATTCCTAATTTCTCCCCCTTTTTTCTGATGTAGAACGTTTTACTTTTACATGTGCTCTATGTTTTTAGCATTCTACTATGCCTTAAAGTTTATTTATTAAATTCATTTAAAAATCACGCCATTTTTCATAAAATACTTTCCAATATCCAAATATTAAGCTGTTAAAAAATTCAATAACACATTAATGTAGCACTTGTAGATTTAAAGCGTTAGCGTCCTTAATCATCCATTGGGTGGCTGGGGCTTTCGTCCCTTAGGGCCCTTGTTCTGGACACCAGTTCTTGCTCAATCTTCAGATGTATGTAATAAATATAGTTATAACACAAATTTAAATTCTAATTAGGTTATTTTTAGAATTTTTGAATTCGCCATTCTTTTGCGTTGGATTGTAGGTTTTAATATATTTTAATTGAATCATAAATTATTCGAAATGAAAAACTACTGGACACCCATATATTTTTCAATTTGATACAGAATAAACTTTATCTTCATTTTTATGGTTCTAACCTAAAAAAATAACCCTAAAAAATTTTTTTTAACATTTTTTTCCTCTGAACTATTTCTAAAAGCGTTTAATGACACTTGGTCACTAGAATGTTATTTAAAAATATGCTTGTGGGAAAAACGCATTTAAAGTTCGTTTATGAATGTCAGTGACCAACTCATAAATAAAGAATGAGGTTTTTTTTAAATTCAAAATTATAGTCCTTAAATGTCATAATTTCAAATTATAAAATTAAACTAATTGCAACTTTGAAGACTTTCCAATGCGTATGAACTGTAGACTACATTTTTGATTTGTAAATAAACAGAACATATGAAAATATCAACCAAGTGATGAAATTTTCGTTGTTCACAACTCGAATATATTTCTTAAAATCTTTTTGAACCCACAATTCGAGAAACAACACACCAAAAATCTCTATACACAATAAACTTAATGAAAAAAAAAGGATTCTAAAAATTATTAAAACAGCAGCGGTCAACGCACGCAATCACTGTTTGCTCTTGAACAGAGTATTATAACTTTTCTCCTCAATTTTTAAATAATTGAAGAGCTTCGGGCAATCTTATGCCAAACCACATTTTCAAATTGTTTATTAAAGCATTTTTTTCTTTTTTTAATTAAAAAAAATTCCACAGTTTGTATTTAAAGAATAAAATGTTTCGGTGTATTATGCTGCCATCTAGAGGAAATTTCTTAAATCATTATGCACCTATTTGGAAACAATGCTGAGGAAGTTTTCTCTTACAAAAAAAAAAAAATAATCCTTAGTAATATAAATTGGTAAATTATTCTCTCTTTATTTTACTCTTATATATTTGTATTACCTATTTTTATTTTAATGTTTAATGTAGAAAATAATTTCTGATATTTGTTTTGTATCTTTTAAGGTAAATGATGATGATCGAGGAGTTTCCCCTCTTCCTTCACCTGACCTAGCCGAGGAAGGTAACTTATATCCTCATAGAACTTGTATGTTCAATTTTTCTTATGTTCAATTTTCTGTTTGCTTTTTTTTATGTTTCATTTTTGTCACTTAGTCATTATTCTAAACCCTTATTCTTCTTTAATAACAATGAAAATTAATAAAATTTAACTATGCCATAAATGAAAGTCATACCATAACAAAAACAAATCTTTTAGAAGGTAGAATAGATATATGCTGCTTATTTACAAACTACTATATCCCTTAATATGATTTTAGCATCAGTTATTTTATTTAATAACTGATAAAAATTAATTATACCAATCACGCCCGATTCACCAATTTAGAATTGATTATTTATTTTAATAATTAATAAAAATAAATAGCAAATAACATTTGAAAGAAATCATTTAATAATTGATGAAATTACATTTAGTTCATGAAAGTTACATTTAGTTCAAGTTAGTTTAGTAAGAAATGCAGAAAGAAATTCGATGCATCATCACGCACAATATGATATCGAGTACATCTGCTGTAAGCTGCCGGAGAGAGAATATTTATATCACCTACATCACGGCAAGTGAAAGTTGTTCATTTCATATGACGGGAGCTAGGGCTCGACCTCCGCATGATTTTACTATAATATCTCCAGTTTAAAATATAACAGAAATGGTATTGAACATGTTCTTCCTCTGAGATCTTCAGCTTGAAATACATCAATAATTTAATTTAACGTGTCCTTTCTCTAAGATCTACAACACAAAATACACCGAGAACGTCACTTAACATTTGTTTCTCTTAGATTTCCATCACAAAATACACTCAGATCGTTACTTAACATGTTTTTTCTTTGTAAATTTAGCTTAAAATATATCGGAAATGTCACTTAACATATTCGTCATCTTAAAATCTTAAGATAAGTAAAACCTTTAGTTCTTCTGGAATTAAAAAAAGTTATAGACTTTAAAAGTAATTGATAAGTTATTAAGAGTAATGTTACATGATAGAAACAATTGCCGATGTCTCTTTTAAAATGCCATATGCTCTTAGCGTTTGTTGAAGAGATGCAAGATGGTGACATAGAGGTTTAATAATTGCTCATAAAAATTTATGAAAATATTATCAAATCAGATGAAAGCCTTATACATATTTGTTTAAAAAAAACTTCGCATTGCGTGTAGGTAGTTAAAACTGCAATATTTTCATTAAAAAAATAGCAATAATTATGAAAATATTTAAACTCTTGTTTTTACAAGCTAAGCTCCGATTACAATTTTTTTTTTAATTATTATTATTTCCAATGAGCTGCACAATCGAACTTGCCGTTGAGCAGACCTAGTGCGTTCTCCAGAGATGGTATCCACTCTTTCAGGACCACCACAATGGGTGAGATACCGTTGGTCATGTTAATTTGAACGTCTAGTTCTGCCGCACTAGATGGCAGCACCGAGACTCTATTTGGATGCTAAGTGCCCTAGAAATTTAGTTTTGCCGGAAATGCCAAGAGCCAATAAGGTACTCCAGGGATCTTTTACATGCCGCATAACCATACGACATGGCCGCTGAGGATTTTCTGTTCCGATTACTAAATTTATTACAGAATAATTATTTTAAAAATAGTGACATTTGTAGATTTATATTATTAAAATAGCTAATTTTATGACAAATGTAATGATTTGAAAATCAAAAATTCGCAGATTGGTTACCAATTAACAAGCGCCACTTGATTTCAATAACGTAAGAAATATATAATTATAATTTTAATTATTTTCAGAATGCTTTATTTGAAAACATATATTTAAAAAAAATTAATTTTTAATATGAAACAATTTCTAAGTTGATTTCGCAATATTTTGTACAGGTAAGTTTAAATAATATTCAAAACAATTTATCATAATACATTAATGTCAATTAATACATTGTATTAATGTTAACTCTGTTATATTGAATCATGATCACGTACTAAACAGTTCCTACTCCAGTTAATTTAATAAATTAAGAATTCAAAACCAAATGTAGGAAAATGTTGATATTTTTTACAAAATATAAAGGTGATAAAATTTCTGCGAATATATTTTTAGATGTATAAAACATTAAAATTGTGCAAAACTAACCCACTTTTTTCCCTTATTTCAGCTATTTTATTGAATGTGTATCACGCAATTTAATAATTTTTTTAATAATTAATCTCAGGTTAAAATATTAACTTTAAAAAATTGATGATATTCAGTTAATTTTATTATAGAATTAAAAATAAAAAACAAAAATATCGCTGGAATAATGAAATTCTCTTTTATTCACAACTCAAGAAGTATTCAGGGATTTCACTGGTTCCATATCTCAAAAATAAACTCACGAACTTAATGCATAACAAAATTAAAAATGAAAAAAGAATTCTAAAGAAATTAGTAGCAGTCGTCATAGCAACGCATGCGCACTGTTTACTATTACTCTTGCTTGATTATAACAGTTGAAAAGTGCGGAAGCCATGAAATCCAAACCAAGACCATTTTGCCAATGGCTAAAAATTATAACAAAAAGAACATAAATTATTTAAATTTATTTCGACGTATGGAACGATGAAAAAATGAAGTGCGTATGATTCGTTTTACGAGTAACTTCTATCGTATCTTCTTATTAATAAAAATTCATTTAAATTATTGTTTTTAAAGTTTTTATTCAAAACCTCATTATTTATGCATATCTAATTAGCACATCAAACTATTTATTAATAATGAATACATTGAGGTGTCAGTAATAGCCTCTAAAGTTTATCATTTTCGCAATCAAAAATAAATTATTTGACTAGTTAAACACTTCATAATAAAGGTCTTTCCTTCTTCAAACTATTATGTAACTTGATCTCAAGGACGTTAATTAGACGTGACGGACGTCAAATAGATGTCCTTGAGAACTGAACTAACGGTATTAGCTATTAACTATTAAAATCTTTATAGTGAGTGCTATTTCTAAGATAAAAGGCATGAAAAAGAATGATTTTATTATTGGAAACATGTTTCGAAAACTCGTGTCAGATTTCGACGATAATTTGTAAACTGTCAATTTTAAATATATTTTCCTAGTTTTCTTTCTACGTCAAATGTCTATGGTCTACGTCAAAGAATAAGTAAGATACTTTGTAATAGACCTAAATTATATTATTTAACTTCGAAAGTTAGTCATACCACAAAGCAAAGCGTACGGTTTATATCAATTCAAGGATAGCCTTTTTTTATACATTGTACAAAAGGGTTTCTCAAAATTGTGCAAAAATGTGTCAAAATAGTCTTAAAACAAATAGAGTCGAATTCGAAAACCCCGTGTGGTCATTATTAGGTAAAGTGACCTGCTCAACATTGAAACAGCTCTGAAAATCCGTCTTCATTTGCAAATAAATATAGCTGAAAAGTGTTGATTACCGATCTAAAAACTTATTATTATTTAATTGAAATAAATTTGGAATGAAGGCAAGAGCAATAAACTTTTATTTAATTAGGTTTTCTTTTCGAATATTTGATCGTTACAAACTAATAAAGTTTGAATTTTGTAAATTTGACGTCAACATGCTCAATAATGAGTATTTAGGTGTAGTGGTAGATACACTACAGTACTCCCCCACCGGACTTATATCTGTAATAGAATTCAATGAACGGCTACCACCAGTTGATTCATTGCTGTTTTGTGAGAAGCCGGAAGAGCTGTATTAGGATCACCTTACTTTTTGAGAGCTGATCGTGAGAGTTGTATTAAGTTCATGATCGTAGTCGCTCCTGTGTTGTCTTTAGCAATCGAGTACATACGCTGTGTGTGAGAGAGGCTGAGAAGCAAAAGCGTAAGGAGACCAATGTCGCAGTCACAAGTCAACTACCCAATGTCCATCAAAGTAGGAGTGTTCAAATCGTAGTGGGCGTTCCTACCAAGGTAGGCGTGTTCACATCACGTCCGGGTCACCAATGTGGGTATTAAGTAGTTTTCGACCATGTCAACCTTCATCTATGAAAAGGTACCCCACCACAGAATAGAGTTAACATGTCTTATATACTAGTGAATTGGAATTGTATTTTTGTAGTGGTAGATACACTACAATAGGTTTTCAAATTTGACTATATTTGTTTCGAAACTGATTTTCGAAACTCAATTTTGAGTAACCGATTTTACAGCGTGTTTATTCATTGAAACTTATGTTTTCAATAAATATTTTTTTAAAGTTTTCTCTCTCTAATTTGTTCTGTAGTTATAATCCCGGTAACAGAAACCCTCCAGCTCTGCAGAGAATACAGCAGATTATGTTATTACACTCATTTTAAAAACACATCTGTAAATTTTTCGAACTAAAATTTAGAGGCTGCATTGCGAAGATACCGCGACGAGTAAATAATAAAGTTTTTTTTTTGTTGTTGTTCCTTAGTTTAACTGTATAGCGATTTATTCTTTTCTATTTAATATCGTTGCATAAAATCAAACTAGTTAAATTTAAAGTCATTTAAAAATAATTAAAAATAAAGTTTTTATGTATAGACCTTTCATAAGTTTTGCTGCCTTTTAAATGAAGCTGAGTAAACGCGAGTTCCACCTTTGCCTTACAGCGGATAAGACTGTTACCTTAGTTTTCATGCAAATCTATCTATCTATAGGTCTATCTATCTAGATAGATATAGCAAAAAAGAATTTTCGAGAACACAAAGCTTCCTATTTTGAAGCCTTTATTGAAAATTTCAAGTAAACGGACTTTCACGAGGAAAAAATAAATTCATGACATGAATTGATGAAGTAATCAATGAAAAGCTTAACTTAGAAATATAAAGTGCCTAATTTGGCTACTTTGTAAGACGATTGAATTTTGAAAGCCGTAGCATTTTGCTTCAGTAGCTTTTGTAATTACCTAAATTCATAGGCAATAGTTTCTTCCTTTTCTTAGTATATATGAAGAGCAAAAAAAAGAAATAACATATCGAGAAGACAGCTGTCAACATTTTTTGAATGTGTCATCACCAGTTGAAGGACGAGTGTTCATGTTCTACTTGACAACCATCCAATTTTGATTGCCTTTCCTGTCAAGGATTGCACGGCGTCAGATTCGGGTGGGATTATATGTTGGATAACCAGTAATATATCAATGCCATGCGATTATAAATGATAGAGAAATCAAATAGCCCGTAAAGATTTTCTTTTCAAGGAGATACATATATTTTTTAGAAACCTATGTGGCCGTAAAAACCTCAGATTTTGGAATTTGTTGGAAGTGTGAATCTCTAAGGTATATCGCTAACGAATAATAAAGAAATCAATAATAATTAAAAAAATACTTGAGAAATCAAATAGCGTGTTAAGAATTATTTCAGGGAGATAAAAATATTTTTTTGGAAACCCAGCCCGAAAAACCCCTGATTTTGGAATTTGTTGGAAGTGTAAATCTCTAAGGTATATCGCTAAGGATATAAAGAATAATAAAGAAATCAATAATAATTAAAAATACTTGAGAAATTAAATATCCTGTTGAGATTCTTTTCGGGGAGATATAAATATTTTTTAGAAACCCAGTCAGAAAAACCGCAGATATTGGAATTTGTTGGAAGTGTGAATCGCTGAGGTATATAGCTAAGGATATAAAGAATAATAAAGATATCAATAATAATTAAAAATACTTGAGAAATCAATTACTCTGTTGAGATTTTTTTCGGGGAGATATAAATATTTTTAGAAACCCAGTCAGAAAAACCGCTGATTTTGGAATTTGTTGCAAGTGTGAATAGCTAAGGTATATCGCTAAGGATATAAAGAAATCAATAATAATTAAAAAATACTTGAGAAATCAAATAGCTTGTTAAGTTTTTTTTCAGGAAGATATAAATATTTTTTTTAAACCCTGCCAGAATAACCGCTGATTTTGGAATTTGTTGAAAGCTTTGTGTGAATTGTTAATATATGCAGCAAAGTGAAAACAATGTACCGTCATTAACTATGGAAGATATAATGATAGAAAACAACTACTAATTGTAAATGAGAGAGATATAAAATAGCCCGTTAAGAATATAATAGCCCGTTTATTTTCAGATACATATGTGTATTTTGGAAGTCTAATTGGCTAGAATAACTCCATATTTCGGAATTCGTTAGAAGTTCCTTGTGAATTGCTATGCAACATAGTGAAAACAATGTTGCCTTCATTAAGTATAGATGATATAATGAAAGAGAAATCAATAATAATATTAATGATATAGAAATCAATAATTATAAATGATAGAGAAATCTACAGTAATTATAAATGATAAAGACATCAAATAGACACTGACGTTTTATTTTAAGGGAAATATACATTTGAAACCTATATAAACAGAATAACCACAGATTTGGAATTTGTTGGAAGTTTCGTGTGACTTGCTAAGACATGCAAATTAGAAAAATATCTTTTTATCCTCATTAGGTGTAGAGGATATTGGATCTCTTATAGTAACAGATAGGTTTTTTTCATACCTGTCTGTACAAGTCTGATGCGGCTGTGAATTTGCAGGTTTTTTAATGAACTCCCTTAAATACATATTTTTAGAAACCTTGCCAAAAATGAAGAAAAAAATATGCACATTAGGGTTCGCAATTTAATAATTAGGAGAAACAAAAACTCTGCAGAAATCTGACATCACAATCCCAGAAAGCTGGTGTACAGAACACCAAAACCTTTTTTATTGCAGATTAAAAATTGAGGGTGAATTCTAATAAACGTCTTTCAACTTCTCATAATTTCTAACAGCAATCATAATTAATATATGATTTTTATTAATTATGTTGTAAAATTTAGTAAATTTATAATAGCAAAAAAAAGTTCAAATATTGCCTTGTCAAGTAAAATCCCAATGACTCTAACAAAAATTATATAGGGAGTTCTAATTTTCAAAAAGTTTAAAATTGTCCTTTTATGTCAAATCTTTGCCAGATTGTAGCTTTTACAAAAAATTGTATAGGTAATTGTAATGTACTGGAAAAATTAAAAATTATCGAAAATTTTTCTGATTCATTAACTTTGTCTTTTTAGTAATCATGAATATTCACTGTATCAATAAATAATCGCTTATAATTTGCTTACATTATTAAACACATAATTAAAAGGTTAAATTAAAAAACATGTTTGAATTACTAATTAAAATAATCAATCAAAACTTATCTTTGATAGAATACAGTTATTCATTTTATTTTCTCTTGTAGAAATGTATTCAATAAATTATACATCAAATTTGTGAACAAATTAATTCAGGACTCCCATAATTTATAACATCGTGATTCTTTTACACACTCTGAGCTATAAATTATAATTAATGATGTTTGATAAATCTATTAAATGTGAGACTCCTTATCTTGAAAAAGAATTTGACACTATCAGTGATTGCGATCTATTTGAAATATTCATATTAATTGTCTTGCGGGTAAAAATGTGTGAGAACTTGCACGAAATATCAGGCATTATGCATTATATATTAAATGGTTTAGGTGTTTAGTGCATAAGTCTATAATCTTAAATAAAAAATTATGCGCTTAATGGGACACATTTAAATATCTCAGACAAATGAGTATCAAAAAGAACGCATGAATTCGTCTTTGTGATAAAAATATGAGATAAGAATCAATGAAAAAATGTTACAAATGTAACTTGGAACAATGGTTATTTTTTAAGTAAGGGTCGTTTGAATTTAAAGCCAAACGAAAGAAAATTTTTAATGTAAGAAGAATTTCTCCTTTTTTCAAAATAATTGCCAAGTTTGCTTAAACGCTTATCATAGAGCATTCGCCTTCCAATGATGCGAACCGGGTTCGAATCCCAGTCGATACGAATTCCGCATCCGGCTTGCACCGACCACAGCGCTGACGTGAAATATCCTCAGTGGTAGACGGATCATGGGTTAGAGTCCTCTTGCCGTTAGGCTAATCGTGGAAGGTTCTCGTGGTCTTCCTCTCCATGTAACGCAAATGCTGGTTAGCTCCATCAAAAAAGTCCTCCACGAAGGCATATTTCTCCCTATACTCGATCCAGGAGTTCCCTTGTCTTCTTGATTGGGTTCAAAATTACAAGGCTACGGAGTTGAACATTAGCAGTCGTAAGCCCATAAAATTGGATCGACTGTTCAACTACGGTTATATATAAAAAAAAATTTTTTAAAAAAATTAAAAAAACCCTTATCATACCTTACAACTAGATATAGAACATAAAAAATTCATTTTACTTACATCGTTTTTCTTAAAAACCACAGATTCAATCCATGATGTACTTTTTTATAATTGTATATAACTCATATATATGGATCATACGTTTTTATAATTATATATGACTTTAAACTCAATACAATGGTTTCTCTATTTATTTTTCCAACTTTATTTCAACAATCTATCAAAGACTGAGCAAACAGAATTTTTTTTTCAATAAGTGCTTTAAAATCAAATTGAAAAGACCTAAATCAATAATTACTCCTCAATTTCATTCACCTTTGTCAATACGCAATCATACTCACCACAAAGTGTGGGTTGTTGTAAGGTCACATCCAAAGACAATGGTTTCCGTATGTTGTTTTTTGTTACATCTTCGCAGGTATTTCTCAAAAAACATAACCAAAAAATTGAAAGAAGTGAAGAAAAAAAGGTGAAATAATTAAAAAAAAGTTATATTCTTATGAGTTTTTAACGCCCACCACCCGCTGCTTGACAAGCAAGAGAAGACTCACTCTTTTATTTTGTTGCAGTTTTTCTCTTAAGTTCGCTTCTTTTATGTTGTAGTATTTCTTTTGTGGCAAACTGTTTCATTTGATTTGCTTTTTTAGGTCCACCCCCATTGATTACGCCTCCGCCACCCGGTCCAGGGCATATAGGCGTCGAAAGTAAGTCGAGGTGGTGGACAATTTTTTGTTTGCTTTATTTTTTAGCTTGCTAGAAATTTTAAATTTAATTTTATATTATTTATTATATTGTTTTATTGCATATTGAGGCTTTTATATCCGTATCGGTTCTTTTGGTTGCTTGTGTTTTTAGGTTCTATTGCACGAACGGTTTTTAAAATGTTAAACTTTCAATTCTGCATTTAAGGTATGATGTACAGTGAGTAAAGTTGAACATCTTTAATAACTTTTGATATAATAGTCGGATTTTTCACGTGCTAGGAAGCAAACTTAATTGTTTGAGGTCTTAATAATAAATATGCCAATTAATTAGTGCAAAAGATATCTTGAATTACGAAATCAGACGCAAAAACTTATTTTCTCCGAATAAAGTTGTGCTGTATTTTTCGATAGATTTGGATTCTTGACCCTCAAAATATAAGGGTTGCCGTAATCTGGGAAATATGGTCCCAATAGTTTGATCAGGAAAGTGATATAGAAAGTTCGGACCCCTTAATTTTAATTTTACGTTTTGAGTTTTTCCCCATATATCGAAAAATTTTTAAGCGTATTGAAACATTTTTGCACACAATTATAAAGTTAGTTTATTTAAAAATAATTCTAAGCAAAAACAATTGCATTATAATTTACTGTTCTTCAATTATTAAATTAATAATGATCGAAAAATTTATGAACTGTAAGGTATACAATTTTTCACTTAATTTTGAAGAATGTAATTTAAATAGCAACAATGAAAATTTGAAAAAAAATCTAATTTTTAATTTAACTTTGATTTCTCAGCCATCATTCGACCAATTTCGATCAACTTGTATTTGACCATGCGAAATTAAATTATTTAAAATGATGTAAAAAATTAGATACTTTTTTTACTATAGATATGTACTATAAGATATATACGAATTTAAAGATCTATTAGATGATTTTTTATTATACTTTACACAAAAAATTTTCGACTATTAATAAATGAAATAAGAAAAAATAAGTATTTGCTAAAAGTTATTTATTTTCATAGAATTATCTTTGGAAAAATGAATTTTATAATTGCTTGCAAAAATCTTTAAATTCGTTAAAAAAGTTCTCGAGATATGACGAAATACACAAAAAGTAAAATTAACATTAAAGGGTTTCAATCTTTCGACCGTTCTCCTAAACAAACTATTAGGACCGTATTTTCCACAATCGGCTATCTCCTATATACGGAGGATCATGAATCCGAAAATGTCAAAAGAAAAAAGATATGTTATTTCAAGGAAAGTACCTTTTTGTGTCTAATCTCGTAACTTAAAATATCGTCTTCACTAATTAATTAACATATTTGAGGTTAGGTCCTCGATCCATTAAGAATGTGTCCTAATGCGTGAAAAATCCATCATTAGTTTAAAATTTATTCAGGGTGTTCCTTTATTTATTTAAAAAGTTAACACCCTGAAGTTTTATCCCATACATTTAGAACACTATACTCAAATGTGCATAATGTAAGTTAAGAAAGATGACTTTTCGAAAATTTTTTAAAGATGTTTTTCTTTAGCAAATTTCCGAATTTAAATAAACCTGAAGAATTAATAAAACGCTGAAAACATTTCTTGGAAGAGTTTCTCCGCCAACAATTTCCCTTTTTTACGAACTATTTTCCTGGTCATGTTGAAATAACAATAGCATCCAATTCTAAGCAAAAAATGTTCTTTCTATTTTCTTAGCACCAACCAACAACTACATCGCATCGATTAAATTTTTATTTCCTTTATCTATATCTTTAAATTATTTGCACGTACTGGTAGACAAAATTATTTTAAATCAAATTTCTGAACGACAAAAAAAATTAAAGCATTAACTCTCTGACTCGTTAAAATGTAATATAAAAAAAATTTCGAGCCAGGAAGAATTGAAAGAGTTGGCATCTATGGATTGTTGAACCGCTGATCAATATTAGAGGTGATCGTGTGTTGTATGCGATAGCACCTCATACCATCACAGCAGTTGCAGAAGCAGTGTGCTGCTATACAATATGTGTTGACCACGGGGCCTCCACACTCGTACACGATGGTCACCACTGCCCAAATTGAATCTAGATTCATCAGTGAAGACAACCTGGTTCTATTCTGTTGCTGTCTAATCGAAAACGATACCACTCCACGCGTAGATAAAGGTAAGTGTCATTCCTGTCTACGCTGTACAGCGGCACACCATTTCTACAACTGGTGGGATGATATGGAGTATCATACAGCTCACGATCACCCTTAATATTGATCCACTGCGCCGTGACAACCCAGAGATGCGTTAGTGACATCCTTCATTCACATGTGTTATCATTCATGGCATTGCTTCCAGGAGACATTTTTCAAAGTTTGGTGACGGAGCCGTGATGGCTCGGAGGATAGAGCATTCGCCTTCCAATGAGGTGAACCGGGTTCGAATCCCAGCAATGGCTGGTCGATACAAAATCCGCTTCCGGCTTGCATTGACCACAGTGCGGAGGTAAAATATCCCCAGTGGTAGATGGATCTTGGGTTAGAGTCCCCTTGCTGTCCGACTGACCATGGGAGGTTTCCTTTCTTTTTCTCTCCAAGTGAAGCAAATGGGGTTTAGTTTCATCAAAAAACCCTCCTCGAAGGCAAAATTCTCCTTATACTTGATCTAGGAGTTCAAAATTACAAAGCAATGGAGTTGAACATTAGTAGTCGTAAACCCAATATTGGGTCGGCTGTTCAACAGCGGTTTCAAAAGAAAAAAAGTTTGGTCACACAAAGGAAGGATGTCACAGGAATGCCTCTGCTGAATTATCAACCTTCCCTGGCCTGCTCGTCGATTCCCAGATTTGTCATTGAACGAGCATATTTGACACCACATGGGACGGCAAGTTGAACAGTCGATTTAGCTGCGTTTTTATAGCAAATGCTGCAGGTCTTTATAACGAACATATTTGCCTCAATGCGCGACCGTATCGCGCTAGAGGTGGCCCAAAAGGTTACTGAAACTTCCATTCATTTCCATTTTCTTTTGCAGTCTATTATCATTTCGCTTTGATTTTTTAAACACTTATTTCAACGCCACACTTACGAACGTAAAATTTCGTTCAACACTTTCTAGGTGCGCTAATTGTTTCGACAATGAGTGCAATAAAGAAATATAGATGTATAGAATAAAAATCAGAAATAATCTTTCCATTGCATTTGAAGAACGAACAGAGTGGGAATGTCATTTTTTTTCCCTTACAGAACTTCCGTCAACTCATCATCAACTCATCCTACATTTGACATATGTGTGTCGGAAGTTACATAGCTTGTAATTAATAAATATGGTACAAATGACATCTTTTTTGGCTGCTTGTCCTTAAATCTGAATGAATTCAATTTTTATTTTCCAAAAAAACAAAGACAATTTATATTTTGTTTTTTACAAAACGAAAACTGGAGAAAAATCTTAACTCCGGTTTTCTGCGTTTATGATTATTTTGTTTCCATAATAAGTAAGAAAGATGCTAAATAAAGTATTATCTTATTAAATAATATTACTTATTTTTTATGACTAAGAAGTTTCTGGAGCAAAAGGACAAAAAGGTCAATCAGGCAGGCATGGGCTACCAGGAAAAAAGGTAAAGATGAATTGTTAAATAATACGAAGTACAGTAAAACCCCGATTATCCAACGCTCGATCATGCGACACTTCAGTTATCCGTCACCTCTTCCCATACACATTAAAAGTGTTGGGATCATTATATAAAAAGAAATTCACTTCTTAAATAACTTTGTATAAAATTACTCGTCATTAAAGTTTATATTTAAAAAATTGACTTCAAAAAGTCTTCCGATTATCCAACTATTTCGATTTTTCGACATTATCCTCATCCGGATAATCAAGGTTTTATTGTATTGTAAAATTACAGTATTGTAAAATTACATTTTCCAATAATTCTAAAAAAAATTACGTAGTATTCAAAGTTTCCTAACAAAATTTAACTCAATTTCAACTCATTTTAAGGAGCTATTTTAGTTAATTGGTTAATTTTATCAACTTGAAATTATTGTTCCATATTCTGGAATAGTTAACTGAGATCTTTAGCTTAAGTACGAAATAGAGAACTGGTTATAATTTTCTTATTTAGAATCTTAAACTCTCTTCATCGGAAAAAATTTCGGTATTGATTTCAAAATTACTTAAATTTTTTAAAAAAAGTCACGTAAGTATTGAAGTGAGGTTGGAATTTGGTTTTATGTTGGTTATAGAGTGATAAAAATTTATAAGATCGCAAAAAACCGTGCTTTAGTAAGATTTGAACGACTCCAAGATAAAAAAAAAAATGACGTTACTTTATGAGAACGCTCTTTAAAAAAAATGATAATAGAAATTCAAACATACAAAATAAGTTTCATAAAAAATCGTTTAGAAGTTTTTTTTTCTCTACTATATTCGTTGAACTGCAGTTGATAAAATTTCTGCGTTCCTATTTAACTATTTTTCTCCAACTTATAGTTTCAATAATTTATGTCTTCGCAATCAAGGAGACATTGACAAAAATTTGAATAAATATTATTTCATAAATAAAAGTACTAACTGTGTAAAGAAAAAATCGGCTAGATTTGCGAGTGACATTTGAAGTACCTAATTAAGTACCCAAAAAATTTAGTCAACCACTAATTAAAGCAATTTTAAAGCTGTTTTCATTTTAAAGCTGCTTACGAGAGCAACGTACTCTCTCGTATGCAAACCAACGGGAAAAATTTCATCTTAACTTTTTGATTAGTAATACAAAATAAAAAAAACAAAAATTTAAAATGGCTTAGACTTTCGTGAGGGTTGTCTAAATTCGTGACTATTGACTAATACTGAAAACAAGACATAAACTTTACTTCATTAACTTGATTTAATAACTCATTCCGTTTTCTTCTTTTTACCGCTTACCTCAGGGTGAAACAGGTCTTATAACGAAAGATGAGTTACTAAAGCTGCAACCAAAATTAAAAGGAGAGAAAGGTGATCCTGGACCACCTGGATTACAAGGACCCGTAGGACCTCCGGGAGAAAAGGCAAGTCCTTAATAATCTTTTTATGCAAATAACCTCATCATCTTTTTTCTGAATTAATTATGTCTTCTGTGTAAGAATGGATGGATGTGATAATGAAGTGTCTATTCTGTAAGAATGGAAGAAAAAAAACTTGTTAATAAATTGGTGAGTAAAGAAATATATTAATGTAACGCTTCCTTCCCGCGTCACAAGAGGTAATCAATTTTAATTTTTCCTGTTCACTAACTTTTGGCACGTTGTATTTTGTGCTTTTTAAAATGCTCCAATTCTACCACTGACTGGCGGGTGATACGTGATTGTGTACGCATTCGAATTTCACTACCATGACCATGTCATTTTGAATGTTTCCAAATGTCTATCTGGTGGGTTGGGTAATAAATTTAAATTTTGCTGGGTACTGAAAACCAGAATATTTTTATGAAAATGTTGCAGATATGTTTCACGCGAATTAAAACCTCACCTAATCTCCCATGCAATCTCCAATATATTTCTAAAATTCAATTTTTGCACAAAATTCTTTTTGGATGAAACATATTTCTCTCTAATGCCATCATTGAAATAATTCTGGTATGTCATCGTTGAAATATTTCTGTAATGTCATCGTTGAAATATTTCTAGTGCGCCAGCGTTAGAATTTTTTTTAGTTTGCCATCGTTGAAGTACTTCTGGAGTGTTATAGTTGAAATATTTCTGTAATGCCATCGTTGAAATATTTCTAGTGTGCCATCGCTGGAATATTTTCAAGTTTGTCATCGTTAAAGTACTTCTGGATTGTTATCGCTGAAATATTTCTGAATCGCTATCCTTGAAATATCTCTCAGATACCATGGAAACAATTCGGAAACTTTTTGAAACGTATTTGCAGAGTTATTTTTAAAATTTTAGAAACCTATTAGGAACTTGCTGTGGTTTTAATTAAAAAAAAATTTCTTAATACAAAGCTCATTCTGACCTGGACATGACATAACTAATATGCTATATGACGCCCGATGGCTAAGTGGTAGCGATTCGAGGTCCCTTTCGTGTTACAGTTACAGGGTTCTATCCTTGAATGGGGCAAGGTTGACTTTACCTTTCGTCTCTTCAGTGGGTCGTTGAAATGAGTACCAAGTATGCTTGAAAACTAAACGCTGGAGGTTCCACGTTAGTCTGACCATCCAAGCGAAACATCTGATTTGCACCCCAGAGCCAAGGGTAAAAAAAAACTGGGCACATTACGACTTGGCCCTCCATGGGCTGAATACTTAATTTTAATAGTCTATATAGAGAAAATGCAATGGGATTTCTAAATACCAAATATAGTTTCTGAAAGGTAAGATTAGAAGTTAAATCGAGAAAATGTAATAATGGCAGCTTCACTACATTTCAGGTGTTTCCTTTCAATTTCGTACTATGGAAAATTTTTAACTAAATAATCTTAATCGTTCACGTTTTAATAATTTTAATTTTTGATGTTATTTGGAGAAATAAAAACATGTCAGAACGCCTTACCGGCAATAGATTTTTAGAAGCGGAATATATTTCTCATTTGAAATTATAAGTTTAACAATTTAAAATAGCCGGCCAGGTGGCCGAGCGGTGAGCGTGCTTGACTGTGAAGCTAGTGGCTGCGGGTTCGAATCCCGCTCAGGGAATGGAAGTTTCTCTCTGTGTGTTGTTCTCTATTGTGTGATGTGTGAATGTAACCCACCCTATAAAACGGGTATCTGGCAGTGTGGCGTGGGTAATGTTGCTCGCCTCCGTGACTTAGGTTCACAGGTGCCCACTGGGTAACGTTGAATGAGTAACACTTCCGGCATCTTCCTAGGCGAAGAAAGTAAAAATTCAGTGCCTGCCGTTGAAGAAAAAATTTACAATTGCATTTACAATATTATAAATTGGTGCATATATGATTAAACGTCGGGTTTCTTTTTTCTTTTTTTTTTAATTTTCTAGTCTAACAAAAAATTTGTTTCTAATTTCACTCCTATATTATAGTCGATCTTTGTACAGTTTATAAAAATAAATGATTTACCAAACTAACAGCTTGATTCTTATTGCAGGGAGAGTGTGTCTTTTTGCCACGTAGTCCTTCAGAAATATTCAATGAAGGAGATTATGGATCAGGAGATGATCAGGTAAAAAATAAATAATTCCATGCAGATCCCTAAAATCTTTTATGAAGTCCTATATTCTAAAACACTTTTCTCATAACAAGTTAGTTTATTGAATCAATCATGTCATCGGTCATCGTTATATTTATTATAGTCGCGAGTTCTTTTTCAAACTACTGAAGAATTGAAGTTTATGAAACAGACCATGTCTAGAAGCAATTTAGCAGAATTTTGTATAATATGTTGATACTTAGTATATCAGTAGGGAGATACATATATCAGTAGCGAGTATAAAATTTGAGAACCATTGTTATTATATATTGAAATACTAATATCTTTGATAAAATTAACCTTAATCCATTCTTATTAATGTCTGTTTCATATGTGCTAACAGTTCCTGACTACTTTTTCCTTCAGAAAGCATACCAGGTCGATTCAGCCAAAAGCCAAAATCCACATAGTCGTATATTTCGCTTAAAAATTTTTTGAAAGTGCTTAAAAATTCTTAAAAGTGCTTACTTTACTTTTCTTAAAGTGCTTAAAAAATTCTTTAAATGTTCTTATGTATTTTAACGGTAAATAATAACCTATCTTACCTAAGACCTTCTCTCAAATGGCTTGATCACGCTGAGCAAAGATTTGAATACAGTAAAGCATCTAATAGCATCACATGCATCTTGAAAATGTAAAAAAATTTGTTGGAAACTTAAGCCTGCTCTGAGCTGAAGTGCTAAGAAAAAAATAGAATTTCTAACTTATCTGATAAAATTTTCATTAAAAATTATTTCAACTTTAAACTTAAAAAAGCGCATAGAAGTCAAAGGGCTAAGTGCCTCGTTCTAACATGGATCCATTTTCCTTTAAATCAAATTAAAAAGGTCGATGAAGAACAACAAAAATTCTGATGTAATGAACTATATAAATTCTAAGAGATCATTAATAGATTATTACTTCATAATAATAAAAACAATTTGCTTATATTTTAATGAAAGCAGAAATATTGCTAATTTTCTTAATGAAATTTTTCATTACAGATCAAAAATTCTTAATAATGTGGAATTGCGCGTAAGATTAAACACAAAAACAAATATTACAATTAAAGCAATAAATTAATTGACATTCCTTCCAGAAATGAGATTTTTTTTTGTCCGATTTATACTATAGCCTTTGCGATATTAAAATCTTTTACAGCCTCAAACGTGCAGTTAAATGCTGTTTTTTTTTCTAACTTTAATACCTTTATATTAGCATTAAACTCATCTTTTTTAATCATAAAAGAACTACCTGCAGCTAGCAGGTTTTATAAAAAAAAGTAATTGTAAAGTAATAAAAGTTTTATATATAGTAATCCTTTTTCTTTCTCAGTCTATGTCTTTATAATTGATGTTCTTTTTCAGGGCTCTCGGGAGTGGTTTTCGGGTGTTCGTCATCACGGTTTACCTGGTGGACCTTGCGTGTGTAATATTTCTTTAAAACATTTAGACCTACCTTATGATAATCTCAGAGGAGCGAAAGGAGAACCGGTATTTATATTATTACTTTCACCATATACTACTCAATTACTTTTTTATCCTTTTTGTCGTGAATATATATATATATAAAAAGAATTGTATATTTTTAAATCATCCTATTTGACTTTTAATGCCTTCGAAATTATTTGTGATTCGGATTCGCTTTTGGTGTTTAACGCGCAATTTTTGTTTTAAAGGGACCACCAGGACTACCAGGACCTCCGGGCATAGGTTTGCCAGGATCTGTTGGACCGAAGGTAAGACGCAGAAGCATTGAAATCAAATTAATTTTTGTCGTCGTAACTGACGAAAATTGGTATTTATTTTGGGCATTTATTGTTATTACAAGTCAGAATTATCAGATTAAAGGTGATAAGGCGCTTAAATTTCTATTTTACAAAACGAAAAAGCGAAATTAATGGAGAAATCTTCGTTTTGGAAAAACGTAAAAAATCGCCTATTATTGACGCAATGATGATAATCGGTACTAATTAAAACAAAAAAAAAGCTGTGTACTAAATATAATTAATGGAGAAAAGGTACTTATCACTTTAGGAAAAATATAAAAAATCGTCTAACTATTTTTTATGTCAATGAAGCTTAATTAGTTTTGATAATAGCTACTAATTGAAATAATAAAAAATAAAAAAAATAAACTGCTTACTATAAAGTATAATTATTTATTTTAATTTTATAACCGTCATTGAACTGCCGACCCAATTTTGAGTTTACGACTACTAATGTTCAACTCTGTAACATTGTAGTTTTCAACCTAATCCAGAAGACAAGGGAACTTCTCATTTATGTATTGGAAGAAATTTGCCTTCGTGGATAACTTTTTGATGGAACTAACCCGCATTTGCGTTACATGGAAAGAAAAATCCCGAAAACCTCCCATGGTTAGCCTGATGGCAAGGGGGCTCTAATCCATGATCCGTCTACCACTGAGGATATTTTACGTCAGCACTGTGGTCGGTGCGAGCCAATTGCGGAATTCGAATCAACCAACCATCGGTGGGATTCGAATCCAGTTCACCTCATTAAAAGCAAATGCTCTCTCCTCTGTGGAGAAAAAGATAAAAAAATTATTGGAGAAATAGTTCTAATCGTCATAGGAATCATAAAGAATTGCCAATATATTATTGTCGCCAATGATGCTTGATTTTGGCAATAGGCACTGCTGGTATTACGGTAATTGATGCCGTTTTTATATGTACCGAATCAATTAATTCAGGTACAAAGTATTATATTCGTATAATTGGTACCTATCAAAACTCCATCAACACTGTACAATTTTAATATAAATATTACAGAAATACGTTTTTACAGCCCATCTAAAAGGATATAAGTACTCGAAAAAATTGCTTGAAGTTGGTAAAGTTTGACTATCATGAGTTGGCCTCGAGCAACAGCAGTAAGTCAAATACTGAATGCAGTCACTCTTTTATTTATATGGGAAGGACTTCTGAAAATATGTTTTTTTCTATTTCTAATAACGTAAAGCCACCTGATGGGCAACAAATTATAATTAAATTTTGTTAATTATGTCGGTAAATAACTTTCAGATTTATATGCATGATTTCTTTCATTACTGATTTTTTTTCCACTATGAAACGTGAAAAAAATCCGACTGAACTAAAAGCTACTAAATTCATAAATATTCAAAAAAAGATTATCAAAGAAATTCGAAACAGAATATCAACGAGAATATTGCTTTGAATGTCACTTCTGAAAAATTGGATATTTGTCTTTTGAACGTATTAGATTAATTCTAAATCGCAATATCTTTTAATTTTAATAGCTTTAGAAGTCCAGCGGTTTTGTCATCGATGTTGATCTTATGAACATTCAAGATTAATTATAAATCACAATATATTGTTCGGTTTTATACACAATGACATTACAAATTCATCGCTTTGTCTCTTATGCTCGTAAGACCAATAAGCCCAAGAAGCAAACTAACTTGGGCTCTCATTGGACCAATATTCACGATTCTTGGCTCAATAAGGGTTCAAATTTTCCAATATTGGCCCTGATATTTTCCAATATTGGCCCTGCATAGAAATGGCTAATTCACACGATATTTTAATGCCACTTTACAACCAATATCCGCCCTATGTAGAATTGTCAGATTCACCCGATATTTAACGTACATTATTCAGTCAATGTAGGCCCTATATTGGCCCTACATAGGACCCATATTAAAAAATCTAGACATCCCAATATTGGTCCCTCAGTACACGTTCATATAGTTTTCCATGTTGAGCCAATTTTAAGCCCAACTGGGTCCAAGGTAAAATTGTTTCTCGGGTATTCATCTGATCCTGAATATAAACGCAGATCGGCGTCATTCTTCCTGATTCGAACATTATTTATTTATTCCAAATCCCAGATAAAGTCTAAAATAATTCCCATTGCGGTAACTTTTAGTTCAGTAGTTTTTATTTTATAATGATCTTAAAATTGGAATTTTAATTATATTTTTCATGGATTTCATAGGGCTTTAATGTGAACCTTTGAATTTTTTATTTCAAAGTATATATGTATAATATTTTTATTTTTAGGGGGATCAAGGAGAAATTGGTGTACCGGGATCTCAAGGACAAAAAGGAGAACCCGGTGTTGATGGGATACCAGGGAGTCCTGGGCCCAGGGGAATGCCTGGACCGCCTGGCCCACCTGGCTTGGCCAATGGAATTGGTACTCCTTTTGATGTAAGTTGTAATACATTATTCTAAATAGAGAACTTCTGATTTTTATCTTTTATAAAAGTCACTTGCAGGAGTAACATGAAGTATATTGTCAGCAAAATAGAAATAAAAATACCTTTAATAACTTAGAGTTTTTCGTATAGTACTAAGTTTCAATGTCTTTAAATTTGGGAATTATTTTTTCAAACATATACACATTTTGCATTTCATTTTTGTTCTTATTTCATTTGTTAATTTATTGAATAATAAGTATACTACCTTATTGGTTATATGTATAACTACAGTGCAGAATTATTGAATTTCGGAATTTTGTATTGAATTCTTAAATAATACATTTTTGCATTTACAACAGTATAAATAATACATCGTGTTGTTATTTTTTTGCATATTTTTTTTAATATATAATTCTAAAGTAATAAAAAAAAAGGAATATTTGTAAACTTTTTTTTCAGGGATACTTTTAATAACTTACATTTTTTTCAGCAGCTAGAAGGTGCCTATGGTTCAGGTTTATATCCTAGCTCTGGAGATGGACCTTTTGGTCCGTACGTGGGAAGACCTGGTGTACCAGGAGTGCAAGGTCCACCTGGTTTACCTGGACCATCAGGGGTTCGAGGAGAACGAGGTTACCCGGGCGAAAAGGGTGATCGTGGAGACATAGGTCCTAAAGGTGATAAGGGCAATCAGGTAACTATTAAAAAAACTTTATTTTGAGATCAGATAATATAAACGCGTAAAATATTAGTTTGCTGTCTTTTTTTTTATAAAATTAGAATATTCCATAATAAAATATTAATTAATAAAATAAATACCAATCGTATAAACTAATTATTCTTTATATATACATAATCTGATATGGGACGGCGAATTTACTAATAATATGCTGTAAATATTTTGAAATATTTTAATGCAAAATCTTCATGCTGCAAAAATAAGCTGAATTGCTATTAACCTATCAAAATGTAATTTTAATTTGCGAATGACAAAAAATATTAGTTATGATAATTTTATATAATTTCACAACCATTATTGAACAGCAGACCCAATTTTGGGTTTACGACTACCAATGTTCATCTTCGTAGCCTTGTAATTTTGAACCCGATCCAGAAGACAAGGGAACTCCTGAATTAAGTGTTGGGAGAAATTTGCCTTCGTGGAAGACTTTTTGGTTGAACTAACCCATATTTGCGTTATATGGAGAGGAAAACCACGAAAACCTCCCACAGTTAGCCTGACAGCAAGGAGACTTTAACCCATGATCCGTCTACCACTGAGGATATTTCACGTCAGCACTGTGGTTGTTGAGAGCCGGGTGAGGAATTCGAATCTACCTACCATCACCAGGATTCAAACCCACCACTGCTTAAGTTATGTTAATAATCAATTTTTAATCATAAATTTTTAATAACCAATTAAGGAATACATTTTTTTTGTTTTTTCTAATGATACCTAAACAAGTCAAGGTCGCCAGCCATTAGACTTTTGCGAATTAAGTCAGGAATGTGTGCCTTTCCTTTGACAAGAGAGCACCGCATGAGTGAAAGTACGCCTTAGCTCAGAACCTCACGGTTAAATGGCAGCATCACTCGTTCAGCAGGCCACGTCCTCAATTTAGACATAGATCTGAAGAGAGAAGGAAATTTTTTCCAGATCCCTCTACCCACGGCTCTGCTTTGTATCCAACCACAGGACTTTCGATTCCACAGATTTTACGAGCGCGTATATCGCGTGTACTTGATAGATCTTGGCGGTCCTGGCGGAGATTGAGCCTAGCCTCTCCAGACCGAAGTATGATTCTAATAACACTGGTCTACCACGGCTCGCATTCAACGTTTTCAAATAAAACATTAAAATAGAAATAAGGTGATTTAAAATGATTTTGTAAAACGGGGTGACTTCGTGCATGCTTACATGCAGTGAGAAATCAATTTTTTTTAAACAACAAAACTCATAAGTATTATTACTGCTGGGGAGTTGAGTGATAAATGAAAAATTAAAATTATCATACATATCATGTTATAACTCTCGCTCTCATATTACATTATTATAAGCAGAATCCGAAATTAACAATGTTAGAGGACCACCAAAATTTAACTCTGACTACCAAAAATTAAATAATCAGTGAACCCCCGGACCAACAATCAAAGTATAGGGATGGTATGCTGCTTTGAATTTTTTGATTTTTGGTTTCGTGTTTTGTTATGAATTTTGTTGCGAAGTAGTATATTTCATCATAATTGTGAACATTACGCGTTCTCTGTATTTTAATTTTTCATTTGAATACCCTTTATTAACTTTTTTAAAAGAAAAATCTAACAAAAACGTGTAAATAAGCCTGTGAAAATGTCCACTAATTAGTAATATTTTTATAGTTACATTTGGACCAATGACTAAATTTTCTTAATTTCTGCTCCCCCCCCCCCCCCNATTTCTGCCCCCCCCCCCCGCCCTCGTTTTAAAAATTATATAGACATATTTTTTTCAACTTCAGTTGTCAAAAACGTTTTTGGTGAGGAATTTTTAATCAATACAAAATAAAATAATACTTTTTACAACAATTACTTATATTGATGCGATTTTTATTTCATTTATTTTTTGCGCAAAATTCACCAGCCAATTTCGTTTGAAAAAATGTAATAGCTTTTGAAAATAACTAAATTATTTAAATTAACTACTTTCTTGAAAACGTAACTTTAAAATTTGCTTTAACGCTGAATAATTTTTAAAAACAAAATTCCTAAGTATCATAAAAATGCATTTAAATTTTAGGGAATTCCAGGATTTCAAGGAGAAAAAGGAGATCCTGGATTGGATGGGAGAGATGGAATAGCTGGTTTACCTGGTTTGAAAGGCGAACGTGGTGTAAAAGTAAGCGTTTTACTACAGTTAGTAAATCTTTAAAAGTGAATTCTGACTTTTAGCCTATTGAACTAGCTGAATTGATTCAGTTTATTTTAATTGCTAAAAGATGAAAAATATAATTTTTCGAAAATAAGTAATCCTTTTTTTTTCAATAGAAGTCGAATTCCTTTCTAAACTATTCTTGCGGCGCCAAAAATTTCAACCTAAATAACCAATTTTGACTATTGGCAACATGCTTTTGCTGAATAATTGAATAGTTTCAATTTATTTGAATTATTAAATTTAAAAAAATATATTCTTTTCAAAAATAAGTAATCCTTTTTTTTTTTCAATAGATGTCATATTCATTTTTAAACTATTCCTACGGCGCCAAAAATTTAAACCTGAATAACCAATTTTGACGATTGACCACATGCTTTTGCTGAATAATAGAATAGTTTCAATTTACTTGAATTATTAAATTTAAAAAAATAGATTCTTTTCAAAAATATAATCAATTTTGAATATTAAATCACAATGGATAGCTGAATAAATTAGTCCAATTATCAGAATCTGGAAGCGTTCTGGTTAGTTATATGTACGAAAAAATTATTATGTTTTTATAAATTTACGCTAATTACACAAAAGAACTTTTTTTTCTGTTGCATAAGATTTTTTAACAGGTTTTAGATACTATTGCATCACTGATTTCAAATCTGAAATCAGTTTCTCTCTCCAAGCTGCAGATTTTTTTTTTTTTTTTGGCATTTTTAGTACTTTTTTTTGTCGAAATGTGTAAGTTTAAAAACGTTTTACATAACAAGGAGTCGCATAAATGTTGTGACAAACTTCTAAGGAAGTTAGAGTGCATCTTCATGATTAAAATTGCTTAGGAATCCTTGCATGGAAATGTCGTCAAACCCAACTAAAAGCGCTCCTCTATTGTGAACTGTTTCTTCGTCAAAATAGAGAAGCCCCCTTAGCTACAATCTAATTCCTGATATGCCCTATCTCCCCTAGAAGTTTGTTGCAACATTTATGCATCCCTCTGTTACATCTAAAGTTTTAAACTTGTACATTTTAGCAAAAAAATAGATTAAAAATGTCGTTTAAAAAAAAACTGTAGCCTTAGGAGCGAAACTAATTTTAGATTTCAAATTCCCGCATCCGAATTACGGAAGATCAAGTATTTGTATAAATACAACAAAAAATTTGTTCTCCAATGATATTATCTTTAAAAGTAATTAAATTGGTGTTTTAGACATTTAAATATAATGGGGCATATATTTAGGATTTGTATTTCATTTTATCTATTTGTCCATTTAATTCTCTTTATTTTTGAAAAAAAAATTTACGTTTGAAACACTAGAGAAACCAACGGAAATAGATTTCTTATTTGTGTTATTTTAAAAATCAAAAATCAGAACCAAATTAGTGGACCAAAAATCAGAAGCAGATGATTTCAAAATAAATTAATATNAAAAACGTTTTATATAACAAGGAGTCGCATAAATGTTGTGACAAACTTCTAAGGAAGTTAGAGTGCATCTTCATGATTAAAATTGCTTAGGAATCCTTGCCTGGAAATGTCGTCATACGCAACTAAAAACGCTCCTCTATTGTGAACTGCTTCTTCGTCAAAAGCCCCCTTAGCCACAATCTAATTCCTGATATGCCCTATCTCCCCTAGAAGTTTGTCGCAACATTTATGCATCCCCCTGTTACATCTAACGTTTTAAACTTGTACATTTTGGCAAAAAAATAGATTAAAAATGTCCTTTTTAAAAAAATTTAGCCTTAGGAGCATAACTAATTTTAGATTTAAAATTCCCACATCCGAATTGGGCAAGATCAAGTATTTGTATAAATACAACAAAAAATTTGTTCTCCAATAATATCATCTTTAAAAGTAATTAAATTGGTGTTTTAGGCATTTAAATATAATGGGGCATATATTTAGGATTTGTATTTCATTTTATCTATTTGTTCATTTAATTCTCTTTATTTTTGAAAAAAAATGTTACGTTTGAAACTCTAGAGGAACCAACGGAAATAGATTTCTTATTTGTGTTATTTTAAAAATCAAAAATCAGAACCAAATTAGTGGACCAAAAATCAGAAGCAGATGATTTCAAAATAAATTAATATTACTATATTTATATTCTATCATTTTGACTGTTTCTTATAATGCTACCGTGGAAAAAATAATTGGGGTATTCTATTAGCAGGGGTGATTGTGAGCCCAAGTCAAGTCAAAATTCCGAAAAATTTCTTGAGTATTAAAAAAAAGTTTAGATTTTAAAAATTAGACAGAAATTTAAACAAGATTTTCTTCTTTTTTCCCAATATTTCTTAGTTTACTTAAAATATATTTAAAATTTTACACATACCTATACCTTTACACATACCTATGATGACCTAGAGAAGTAATTAAAATTTACAAATATGTCTTCCGTTCTTGAGTTTATAGTTATAATAACTATTTACTGATAAAAAATCAATATTAATCATGAATATAAGCTTATAAAGTATCTGGCTCTCCCTTACAAACAAATAAAATAAGCTGTATTTTTAAGTTCCACCTTTGAAAATTTGATTTCCGGAAACTTCTGTGATCAATGATTTTTTGAAACGTCTGAACCTTCGATTTCCAGAAACTTCCGGATGACTGTTAGCGAAAAATCCGGAAATCCGGATTTTTCTGGAGCACAATCAGCTCTGTATTAGTACTCATTTGTACCGAAAAAAAATCAAATATTACTCACATTTTATCTTGTTGCTAACTTTTTATTTATATTTAGTCGTGTAAGAAGTAGTTTTATAAGTTCGAATAAACCGAAGCTATTTGCACTAATATGCAGGAAGAAAAACTTTATAATGAAAGGTCATTTATGTGTATTCATATCACCCTAAAAACACATATTCCCTTACAAAATCCAAAAGATAAGTCAACTCTATCTAATTTAATATTTTCCGACATAGCTTGATCCTTATCATTACTAGGAACTAAGCCATAATTTCTCCCTTATAGCTGGAACCTTTATCAAATATTGATACTTACAATAATTTTTATGCTCGGCGTTTGTGGAGCAATATCATTATAACGTCCTTATCATTTCTAACTTGTAAGATTATTCTCAAATATATTCTCTTCTACATTTTAATCAAAAGATTCCAACACGCACCCTAATATGTACCTGTACCCCGCAATTTCTGGTGCGCTAACGATATTATAAGTAGGTATTTAGTGGTTTAAAAAGATTGGTAGATTATATTCTTCGTTTATCTAAAAGTTAAGGATCTGACGACAGTACCGGTTGCATTCAGACGCTTATTAAGACATCAGACTTCACTACAATCACGGCTTGTAATGGATGAGTATCACGATACTATCATGGCTGAATGATCGGATTCAGTTGCTTTTTAAATTATTTTTTTATTAAAATAAAGAAGTTGTTTTATATGGTTGAGTTTCGATTGTTACTAACATCTATGAATCGAGTGGAATACTTTTTTTTGAACAAAATGGTTCATAAATTGTCGTCATATTCATAATTGTATGTTACAAAAAGAAATAAATGGCTTGGTTTCATGATTTTTGCACATAAATAAAGATGCAATTACGTCACGATGTTTCTTTCATAAATATTGTGTCCCGAGATTAAATTTTTTTTTCTCCAAGCTAGTTAAAAATAAAAATAAAGCCAATTACAGTCGGACCTCCATTTAACGAAGTCACTAAATCCCGATAGTAAGTTCGTTATATGGAAAATTCGTTAAATATAAAATCACCTTTTAAAATACTTAAGCAACACAAAACAGGTTTTAAATTCATAAACACTAGACATAATAAAAATAGCAATCGATACACTTTTATCTCGTAAACTAGTATCTACTATTTATTTTATAAACATTAACCATAAAAGAGTGAAAAGAAAGAATAAAGCAAAACATTAGTCAGTGTTACACTATCATGCTGTATACATTTTCAACTAAGAAAAGGTTAAATTTATACATAAACTTATAGTTGCATTTATTATAAAAGTAATTTTAAACATTCGTTACCACATGCGTTCTTAAGTTAAATTTCCACGGATAAAATCTGTTAATTTAAACTGAGAACGTTTCGTAAAAATAAAGTAATAGCAGTAAATTCCCTTTTCGTTTGAAATGCAAACGAAAAGGGAATTAACTGCTTTGTCTAAGATAATTTTTAGAGAAAAAAGTAATACATTTCATAAAGCAGTGGCTTCGAAAACTAATTCAAGGTCATTTCCCCCATAACATGCTGTTAAATGTTAAGAAATATTTCGGAAAATAGGGGAAGTGGATCTCAATGAAAAGTTCGTTAACTAGAAAATTCACTTCGCTATTTGGGAAGTTATTTTACGAAGAAATTTCCAAAATGTTCCTCGAAAAAATTCGTAAAGTAGAGAAATTCCTAAAATGGAAGTTCGTTAAATAGAAGTCCGACTGTATACAGAAATTTAAAATCTTAAAAAAGAAACAAATTTATGTAAATTTTTGATTTCATAAACGACCGTAATTTATTTTCCCTTTAACTTTTGCGTCCGACTTTGTTACAATACATTTATTTCATTACATTGAGTACCAATGACAACAGCATAATATCTTCCAGCCTTTATGTCATTAAACGTTACTTTCAATTCATTAAATACAAATAATATATCTGTTTTGCATAATGCGTACAGTCTCTAGCATCGTTTAATTTTGTTACCATAAAAAAATAATATCGATACGTTTTCGCGTAAAGTGTAACGTTTTGTAGCCGCATTTGGCTCCTGCGCCATTGAATTCCAACATTTAATCCAATTAAAATTGACACAATTATAATACATAATAAAGGATGGGAGTTCTATTGATAGGAAAAATATTATCGATCCACAGAATCTGTTTTCCATGCACATAAAATCAGTTCTCTTTCCTGATCTTATGGAGAAAAAAAAGTACCGTCATGTGGGCCTACTTTGTGCAGGATTTCGCAGTCTTTGAACTTTGACATGTAAAAAAAACTATGTTAATTCAAACATTAGTAAAATTTATCGATATTGTATTCATAACTGGACTCAGATTAGTGAATTTGATCAATATTGGCATTATTTGTATGTAATATTTACAAATAATAAGTCAAAACATACCTTGCACAAAGTAGCCCCCAAGTGGGGCTACTTTGTGCAGCGATAGGAATTATGTTTAATAATCGTGTTTTTAGTAAAATATTGATATAAAATTGTTAAAAAAGTTAATTGTTAACATTTTTAATAACAAAAACATCAAGATATGTAAAGATATTAGTTTGAAAATAATTTTCAGTGTTAAAAAACCATTTATTATAAAGAATTTTTTCTTAAAAAGAATGTTTATTTCAAAACATTTGAGTTTAAACAAAGGAAAACCATATATATTTTTGAACATTGAAATGGATGAAATTTCAAAAATAATAATTATTTCACATTCATTAACATTTATAATATTGATAAATTTGAACATGACAGAACTTGCTCTTCAGTTTCTGTCAAAATCACCTAATGTCCTATAAAATATATTTTTATGTGTTAAATCGTTTGATTAAATCATTAGAAAAATCTTTGTAGAAGAAAAATAATAGTTTACCAGTAAGTTTCACGTGTTTCTTGTGAATTTTATTAGAGATAGTATTTCTGTGGATTTTGTACTTCCGAGAAGCTTCTGCAATCGACATACCACCAGCAACTGCTTGCAAACATTGTTGCAGCTTTTCTAAAGTGTAATCACGGTAGTTTCTCGTTCCAGGTATTTTTCTTATAACGTCTGACAATTTTTCTGTCGAAAAAAAAAACGAATTTAACTTTGCACAAAGTAGCCCACAGTGCATTTTTTTTTCATTTTCCATTTATTTGTAATTAATTTTCAAATTTTTTTAACTCTAGCATGATATAATTGTTTATTAATATATAAATAAAAAATTTTACACTTAACGATAATATTTTTATCAACGTCTTTGCATTTCGTAGCTAAAGTTTCCACGGCACACTTTTCGACATCCGACGTTCTCGGAAAGTTTTTGACATTGGATAAACAAAACACACTCTGAGATTGTTTTAAAATTNTATTGATCTACAGAACCTATTTTTGATGCACATAGAATCAGTTGTTATGCCTGATCTAACGAAAAAAGGTAATGGGAAAATTCCGATAAAAAATATGGTAAATATTTTTTTTCCAAAAATAAAATAAATAAAAATAATTCCTAAAATCTTAAACTCAATAATGAGCTATTAATTATAAGCTAATGTTACTTCATTTCCTATGAGGAAATTTTTATAATGGAACGAATAAATGAATGAATAATCATACAATATGTTTTTCTTTCTTAAAGGGTGATCCTGGACCTGCTGGTATAGGACTCCCAGGACCACCCGGACCACCTGGTATCTCTGCTATATACCGCCCTTCAGACGATGATGCTGTCGACTTGGATTACGGCAGTGTACGTTTCACTGGCCCAAAGGTAAAAAAAAATTAAGCTGAAATATTCTTTCTGCATAATTTTTTTCCTGATGTTATATTCTTTATAATTCTATTTCTAGGGCGACAGAGGAGATCCTGGTACACCAGGCCCACCAGGAGAAAAAGGAACAAAGGTAAGAGTTTCAATGGAAAATGCTTCATTTTACGAAAATACCATGTACAAATAAGTGCATACAAATGAAACTTTCATCAAAAATTAAGAACAAGACTACTCGCCTATATCTGATCTTCAATATATCTTATTTTAATTATATGTAGTGATGGCCCGATAGCTGTTAATTCTGATTCATTAAAATATTACCACATTAACTTTGCCACCATTAAGCAAAGTATTTCCAGAAACTCCGTATCATGTAAGGTGGTGTAAGGTGATTAAAGGAAAATTCCACTGTAAAAAAAAAAAACTTTGTTTTTCTAAGTAAATGAGGGATTACATTTTAACAGGTTTTTAAATTACATCTTTTGCTCATGGTTTTCTCGCACATACACTCACTAGAATAAGCGTAATCAGAAATCTGTTTTATGCTTAAATCTGTTTAAGTCAAAAGTTCAAAATTTCTTACATAAAATCCTTATAACTTCTAAATTATTATTTATATGGACTTAAATTTGATTTTAATGATTTAAGCATTAAAAAAGTGCATGAAACAAGGCGAGCATTATCCAGTGATGTATTATTATGAACACTATTGACATTGCAGTGTCAGGCGCGTGAATTACACATTAGTACAAAACAGTATTTGTTCAAGTGAAACATATGTAACCCTCAAAGCTTCTAAACTTAGTTTTGATCTCAACCAATTTAGCGCAAAACATAACATAGGATCCAAGACATTGCTCGTCTAAATAGCTATATCAGATGCTTAATACGTTATATTGCAAAAACTGTTACATTTTATACACAATTTAACAACTTATAAACTATTAGTACAATCGACTCTGCTTTGGTTTCACTCAATTCAGTGCAAAAAATGCTTAGGAAAATATACTTCATTTGCCTAGACAGCAAAGTTACATGCATCAATAGGTTCTTTTTGTTGTCGGGAGCCATTTAAGGCAAGGGGTGAGATTGTTCTTGTTTTCCAGTGTCACCCTCTATGGCCAAGAATTCGAACTTTTGCCACCCCCTTTTTTAGGACGAATCCATTCATTCATCCACAGATCGAATTTCGACCTAAACCAGCGAACGATCATTCGTCAATTCAGTACCCCCAGAGGTATAATTTGATATGGAAACATGGAGGACTTTATGCCCCGACAGATTTAATGTGCACCAGTCACCATTCACTACACTTCGGCAGTCTGGATTCGAACTCCCATTCTCACGAACGTGAGTCCAGCGCCCTGCCAAGCAGGCTATCCCGACCGCAGAAATATGTATAAGTACAAGTCTGTACCTTTTTTACAATAAAAACTTTAACTTCTAAACTATTTAGACCTATCGATTTGGGTTCGATTTCAATAGATTCATCGCAAAAGATGCACCTTAAACAATACCTCACTTTTCTGGATATCAATGCGTAGGTTTCTCGTTTTACGACCTTTTTACCCCCTTCTCGTTTTACGACCTTTACCCCCTTCTCGTTTTACCCCCTTCATTTCCTCTGCCCAGTCATGGAACTCAAATTTCCCACTATCTATTAAAAAATTATTATGATCTATTAGAATCTTCCAAAACATAAGGAAAAAAATGTGTCCTGTCACAATACTGAAAATACAAAGTTTGCCCTGGGACAAAAAATAAATAGTAATAGTCAAAAAGAGAAAAAAAAATCTATAATAAAGAAACACTGAGTATAATTGATTTTACATCATTGTAAATAGTTTGAAGAAAATTTGAAACAGATAATATAAATAAAATGTTAGCTGAAAACTTTTCGAGATCTTGTTGTAACCATGCACAGAAAAAGACTATTTAACCTTCTGCTTTCAAATTACATGAATAAGAACTTAATTATTTTAAAATGTTCTATGCCCATGAGTAAATTCAAGATGGCGGCTAAAGCTAATCTTGGGGAAGAAGGATAATTTAATTCATTTGAAGTTCACTGATTTGAAGAAGTCTCCTAGCCCAATAACGTTTGAATTTAACCATTTAAATCAAACCTAATATTTATTTATTTCAGACAGAGAAACGTCCTGCTTACATCCTAAGATATAAATTATCTAATTAATTTAATTAATCTTTTTCCATATCCTTTTATAGTTTCGATGCCTAAGTTAGGTTTGAGAACCTAATATTTTTGTTTATTTAATTTAGGGTGATAGAGGATCGCGTGGAAAAGAAGGTAAAGAAGGCAAAGAAGGACCAGTAGGTTCAAAAGGTGACTTAGGTCCACCTGGTCCCCCAGGAATAACCAAAATAGTGGATTCAGTCGGAGACGCTATTTCAGTAAGTAATACATTTATTGAATTCTTGCATGACTGTTGAGTAATATCAAACAGACTCATCACTATGTAGACATATATAGTGCCTATTAAAACCCGTATGCACCTCCCAACTTTCGAAGAGCTGCATCAATAGTTACAAAAGTGTTATCCAAGTGTCTAAGAATAGTAAAGCGGCTATGTGCTCCAAGATGATACAGCTCACAACACGACCTGGTTGTAAACTGTGAAATTAGAATTTCTATCTCTAAAACGGTATGAGATATAGGAGGAAAAAAGTAAATCACGAAATTGTAGAACATCATTAATTTAGTATGAATTGATACCTTGTGGACATTAAGCTAAGAAGGGAAAAAAAGAATTCAAATGCGCAATTGGATACTTGCACTTCAAGAAGAAGATCGAGGATACCCACACATGTGCCCTGTGAAGTCAGCACCAGCTGGTCGTTTATAAGCAAACTGGCTTGTTAAAGTTGAGCTAAGTTTCTCAACACAAGTTAGAATGTTAGAATTAAATACAGCGCCATATCGCACATCGAATATGTTGAAATGTGATTTTTTCTCGTTTACGTCTTTTACTTAGCTTAGATTTATTATTTATTTTATTTATGTATTTTATTATTTATGTATTTTATTATTTATGTATTTTATTATTATCGTGATGTATGTTTGCTTTGTGTGACAGTCAACTTCGATGCATAATTAGTTTGTTTAGATTCGACAGGGTTTCACGTCTGTCTTTGTGTTAAGTAAGAAATATATAATGAAGGAATTGAAATCTTTGTGAAGGAATATAGAATGTGTCACTTAAGAGAATTGATGCTTGATAAGCTTGGCTTACTCGAAACAGAACAGTTACTAACGTAAAAAAATGCCACGTTTCAATGACCAATCAGGATGTAGATACCCGAACTACGTCATTTGCTGGTACCCCACTGTTTGTTCATGGTTTGGTTTTCTACACTGTAACAGGACAAAACAATCTTAGGAGAAAAAAAAATTGTTGATGCTAAGATGCTTTTGCTTTCAATGTAAAAAGCTTATTAGAAAAAAATTGAACAGCAAAAATTAAGGTATCTTGCGATGTTTTTTTTTCTTTTCTTTTTCCCCATTTCATATTAGGAAATCCCGCAAATGCGAGTTTCAAACGTTCTTTTCTTAACATTTGTTCTGCCCAGCGCCATCTATTGGTGTTTAACAAAAAATCAACAGTGTTCAAAACGTTCCGCAAACAAGCGGGCGTACTTGTGTAATAGTGAAATGTGTGTGCATAAAAATATAAATAAAATAATTTGTTTCTACGGTACATTTTAGTGACAGTTCATTATAACAGCATTACTGACCGCAAGTTCTCAAATCGTATTCATTCGATAAAGCTCTACCTCTTGTAGTTCATCTTTATCCTATCTTGTACCGTTTTCGGTTTAGAAACTCTTCAGTTTCTCACCAGGAGGTGTTGTTAGTAGTCTTATTTTTTAAACCATAGCGACTTTATTATAACTAGTCACCAAATTTGTAACCTCAAAAACAACTATTCAACAGGTAAGACGACGGATACGGACTTTTTTGGGCATTATGCATTACTTGCGTATGAAATACAAGTTAAAAATTAAAGTTTTCAATAAATTAAAAATGAAAGTTAACAAAGAGCTAACCTAGTTTTGATTAAAGTAATAAGGTTATAATTACTTTTTATTATTATTAGTTGCTGAAAGGTGAACGAGGAAGGAGAGGTAAAAAAGGAAAAATTGGACCACCAGGGCCACCCGGAATATCCGGACCTGTTGGTGAAATCGGTTTGCCCGGTTTTCCGGTAATTATAATTTGTCTTACACCCAATAAAACTAAAGATTGAAAACACTCGTCAGCAATGAAATAAAATATGAAATTTTACAGGGTAGGCCTGGAAACCCAGGAAAGCAAGGACCGAAAGGAGATACAGGAATAGGCATAAAAGGAGATAAAGGAGAACCTGGACCACCTGGTTATGGTGGTTACGTAGATCCGGTAATTATATTCATTATTTAATATTAGTTTTTTTTTTTTAATTTTGATTTGTGGAAAATTGATAATCCCCAAATAATGTTTAGACCATAAACTCAATTCCATTCTTCTATTAATTTTATTCTAACAATAAGCTATTTTCGTATATTTTTTCAAGGGAAACATTAATTTAAGCTTCAACTTTTTTTTCTAACCGTCGTTGAACAGCCGACCCAATTTTGGGTTTACGACTACTAATGTTCAGCTCCGTAGCCTTGCAATTTTGAACCCGATCCAGAAGACAGGGGAACTTATGGATCCAGTATTGGGAGGAATTTGCCTTCGTGGAGGACTTTTTTTGATGGATTTGCGTTACATGTCGAGGAAGACGATGAGAACTTCCCACGACTAGCCTAACGGGAGGGAAACTCTAACCCATGAGCCGTCTACCACTGAGGATATTTCACTGTGGTCGGGTGCGGGATTCGTATTGACCGTCCATCGTTGAGATTCGAACACGGTTCACCTCGTTGGAAGGTTCACCCCCTGAGCCATCGCGGCTCAAGCTTCAACTTTGTCGATGCCTTAGCCACAAAACAATTTAAAAGATCAGCTTAATTTTTTTTTATCCGTCGTTGAACAGCCGACCCAATTTTGGGTTTACGACTACTAAAGTTCAACTCCGTAGCCTTGTAATTTTGAACCAATCCAGAAGACAAGGAAACTCCTGGATCAGTACACCCAGAGGTATTTATTTGTTACGGGAACAAGGAGGACTTTGCGACTCGACAGATTTAACGTGCATCAGTCACCATTTACTACACGGGGAGTCTTCGGTCGGCGGGGATCGAACCCACGAACTCTTGGATATGGGCCCAGTGCTCTACCAAACAGGCTATCCCGGCCCTAGATCAGTTTAATTGTAAAAATATTGCTTATTAAGTACTACTATACAAGTTTTTTGCGCTTAACATCTCAAAACTTCGACTGAATGTAATAACTACTAAATGTGATGCCTACGAAATAAAAAAAATTTTGTTAGAAAGTATAAAACCTTAAAATATATTGTTTAAAAAAAATTATTACCTTGATTTTACTTGTAATAACCTAGTGTGGGAAACCAAAGATAAATAATTCATAAAAACGTGCTATGAAACTAATTGTTGATTTACTGGAGCAAGCTAGCAATTTGCTGATTTTATAAAATCTTTATCAAATCCTATAGAAAACTCTTTTTTGGGGATGTAGCGTGCGAACCTGGGATCGGAGGGAGTTTTAAACTACTGGTTCGTAGTATTTTCGAAAGTATGAACATCAAATTTGGTGCAAATCAGTTAAAAATTAGGGATTTGTTTACGATACAACACGCATACATATAAACATTCTACTTTATTCAAATAGATGAGTGAAAATTTTGGAAAAATTACTTCATTACCTCGGAAAGGCATTGTTACAGACAATGTTCTTTCACTATAAATAATTAAAGACATTATACTAAGCGCAACATACTAAGTGCCTATTAATAAAGATTTTCCAACAACAAACGCTTGTTATATTCATCTTACAAGTATTAATCATATTTAATCCAACCTTTTGACAAGGACCCATCATATTCTGATCAGGTTTTTCTGAAGGACTAATTTGTGACTCCGAATGTGCTAATGTGTATAGTCTGGAGATTTCATTTTTGATACACATATTAAACATTTGCTAAGGACTCCAATGTTTGCAATGACTTAAATCATCAAATGTATATACCTATTTTAATTTTTTTTTTAAATATTAATTTTATATATTATTAATTAGTTTATTAAATATTATTCTCTAATTTTTTAATTAGAGAAAAATTGTCACATTATTTGACTGACTGTACTTAAAAATTCATTTTGTACACAGATTTTTTTTTCCGCATCATACAAAAATCAATGTTTTAATTTAAATTCATGTACCTGAATTGTTTACAAAATCGTTTAATACGCTTTTTTTAATGTTTCAGGACGGTATAAGTGTTGTTAGTATAGGTAAGTACAAGTTTTATACAAGTATATTTTTCTATTCTATTTATAAGAAGTTGAAGGAATGTGAGGAAAAATTATTGTAATTTTCAATATTAGGGAGAAACACTGAAATGTGCAAGATCTTGCAGCACGGAAATGACGAACCCTAATATATTTCCAGCGATTGGTCTATGGACTCTTAACTCTAATATTGATGTCTTTATTACTCAAATAAAATACTTATAAAATAAAAAAAAGAATGATGGTTAAGAAAAACTTTTTTTAAGAGTCAGTTACAGACATAATTACTTCACAGAGTTGGATACAGAAATTTTTAATTTTCTTGAAATTGTCAGGATATATTCCTTAAATAAAATACGCTTTTTTTCCTCTCGAAGTTTTGGGGTTTCGAGAGTTATCGAATAGTATTTGGGGGTAAAACTCCGGATCCAGTGAAATTTTGAGAAAAACACATGAATTTTATAAAATGCAATGTATTTTGTTAAATGAGCTACGTTCTCGCCAACTATTCGGCATAAATACTTTTCAGTGTACCTTTGTATCAAAGAACAAATGTAATTCAAAAAGCTTAGAAAAAAAGCTATTTCTTAGACTTTGACCGTCAAAATCTATTGGTATAAACAATGAACTACATAGGTACATATTTCTGTGAATACAAATCAATGAGCAGTTCCTAAAAAGAATAAACATATGTGCAGTGTATATTTGAAGTGACCTTAAAATTGATCTTAAAGTAACAAGATGCTGAAATTTTGCACAAATTTTAAAGTCATCAAATGCCTTGGCCAAAATTAGACAAGTTTGAAATTTGCTGGAAAAGAAGCCTTTAGTATAGCAGAAACAAAATCAATTTGCAGACCTATGGTTACCAATTAAGCTTTTTTTTAAATACGGCCCTAAAGTTTGAAACAGGCACCTAAATAATTGATTACAGAAATAGCAATGGGAATGCTGTAAATCGTTTTAAAACATGTATATATATACGAATATAAAGATGAGATACTCAAGACTTCTTTTCTGGCAAATTCCATACTTACCTAGTTTTGGCAAAAGCAGTTATTGGCCTTGAAAGTTGAGCAAAATTTCAGGTTCTTGTTAGGTTAAGGTCAGGCCAAATAAACACCACACATACATAAATTTTTTAGATACTATTCATTCGTATGCATATAACTTTCTGACTGACTATGCTAATAGATTATGAAGGTCAAAGTCTTAAGAAAACAGCCTCTTTTTGAAAATTTTTGAATGACCTTTGACCTTCAATTCAAAGGTCCACTGAATGTATTTATGTCTGAATAGTTAGTGTGAACGTATTAAACATAAAATAACGGTCAGTATCGTAATTAACTAGTTTCACAAAAACAAATTGCCACTTGTAAATCGACTTATTTCTTAAAATTCCAGAGGATCGTCAGTTTTGACTAGGGATGTAACGAATAGTGATTTGGTCGGATACTGAATATTCGGCCAAATAGCAACATTAAAAAAAAACTATTTCTTTTCAAAAAACCATAAGGGTGTTTTGAATTACATAAATAATTTTTGCTTCCCATTCAAATTGCATTGTTGTAAACAGGGCATGAAAAATCAGAATTTACACAGTTGGGGATAATAAAAAGTTTTTATTTATTTATTTTTAGCAGCTTCTGTAGAACGTGTGAAAAAGATGGCTTTTGTATTTATTAAACAAATGAGAACGTTTTCCTCGGATTTCAACATTAATTTAAGCACTCACAGTTCTTTCACTACAATTATTATGGGAAAAAATTCTTTTGCAATCTCACACGACATTTTTATATGCAATTTAGAGCTTTTGCAATCACTATATGTATCTGTCATTTCTTTTCACTAGGCCCAAAAGGAGATAGAGGAGACTCGGGCCCAGTAGGACCCATGGGGCCACATGGACGACCTGGAGAAAAAGGAGAAACGGGAAGACCTGGAAAAGACGGCGTTAAAGTAATATACCTTTGAAATGTTCATTCAATTTTCTAGTATTCTCATAGAATATTTACTTGATTCTCCCATTTATTTTATAAAATATTTAAATCATTTCCAATGCTTTACAAGCTTTTGTGGTAAAATCAACCAGTAATACAATATTTATTAATTGTGACTACAATGCGGCACCAATACAAACACAACTAATAAAATTTTTAAAAATAAGTCTACTCAATTGCAATTAAATTTTAGTTTGTCTTAGAAAAATCTCGAAGCAACCAGTTAACCCTTTCAGAACCTAGATGATACCCAACCAGATGATATAGAGAAACTAACCTAAGATGATATCCTATATATTGATCCAATAGTGCTGATGATAATTCAATTTAAATTATACACAAAAACCTATTTTTCTAATTGTATGTGACATTATAATAGGAATCATACAAATGGGATAAAATGATTGTAAGAATTATACAAATAATAGAAGTCATACAAATAGGATTTATAGTTATAATCTTAATTTGAGAAACTAACCTCAGATATGCTGAACAATCAGTACAGATGGTAATTCAAGTTAAATTATGCATAAAAACCTACGTTTTCCAATTATACATGACATAATAATTAATAATAGAAATTATACGAATAGGATTATAATAATACTAGGAATTATACAAAAATAATAATAGAAATCATACAAATAGGATTCGTAGTTATTTTAATTCGAGAAACCAATCTAAGTTATGCTAATCAATTAAATGCAGACTATAGGTAGATGATTAATGCAAATGACGCACATTAACCCTTTTTTTCTACTTATACAAACACCTCTTCCCACTGAAAAATTCGAGTTATCAACCCCAGGTATAAGAATGAAGGCAATCTTTAAGATACAATTCTTATAATTGAGACAGGATACAGTCAGAAAGTTTCTCTCTTAATATTATTTTCTTTAGTTCTACTAAAGTGTATCTTAATGATTGAACAAATCTGATTATCAAGGTTTATTAACTTTTCCATTTCCTCAAAGTATATAATTTTAAAAGAAAAATTTTAATTGTGGGCGAATTCCATTGTTAAAGAGTTTCTAAAATATAAAGTTTAAAAAGTCTTTGTTTTTAATTTCACAGGGTAACTATTAGATAGACTCCATTAAAATTTCAACCATAGCAACTAGTAAAAAATTTGCACAAATTAATAAATTTTTATGAATGCTTTATAAGGATCTTTTTTCGTTTCTCTTGATGCACATTTTAATGCTTTTCCTAGCTTGAAATTTAGAAAATTTAAAATTTTGTTAAACAGTGTTTTGTATTTTTGTTTAATAGTTTTTAACTGCTTATTGTTTATATAAAATTGTTCCTATTTATTATAGGGTGAACGAGGACCACCAGGTCCAGCTGGCGGATTGGGAGATGAAAGCAGTGGAGGAATTATGCATGTCAATGGACCACCTGGTCCTCCAGGTCCCCCAGTAAGTCAAAAATTATTATAATAATGTTTTTTAGTCATAAAATTATAGCTTATATTTCTGTTCTTTTTTTGTTCTAATATTCACTGACTAATAACTATTTAATATTCTTTTTTTTTTAGTATGTACCACAAAAATTCATATTTTATCATGAAATTAAAATTAAGAAGCAGTAGATACTTAATTTTCTTTTCCAGTATCCTGCCTAAGTTTACATTGTGACTTTTTTGGAGTTTTAAAATATTCTTCACAAGCACAAAAAATAAGCAATGTTCTAACAAACTAATCTTTTTTATACCAAAAAATGAGAAGCAGTTTTGCACTTTCCTAATGTCAAACAATACAAAACGAGATAATTTCTTTAAAAAAATCATCTTAATATTAAAAGTGACTTTTTATATTAAGATAGCTTTAAAAGTGAATTTCTTCAAAAAAAAATTTTTTTTCAAATAGTGAAAAATATACTGCAACCATAACTAGAATATTTTTTAAATTAGCTTGTTGACAGTATGCACCATCTGTTGACTGATAGATTTTCTATGCAACTATTCCTTCTGAAAAATAATATGGGAAAAATAATTAAAATGCGAATATTTCTTTACAACCTGAAGCTAATTACAGTGTAGCTAAGTTTTTAACCCTATAACTATAAAAAAAATTATTTTGAAAAATTGTGGTTGAAGATCTGTCAAAGAATGTGCTAAAATTATTATGCCCAAAGAATTTAGCTCGATAGTTTAAATCATATTGAAGAAAAGGCTTTAGTCAGCATAAAAATTTATTTAGAGATAAATTTTTAAAAATGTATGAAGTATGCTTCCAAACATACCAAAACATAGACATAATCAACTAATTTGTAGATTACTCAATAGTTTTTAAACAAAAATATTGAATTAAATATTCCAAATTTGAACAAATTTGGAATATTTAATTCAATATTTTTGATTGAAGAACATATTGAATTAAATAATAACTAAATTTATTATTTAATTCAATATGTTCTTTTATTTGAGTATCAAATGTAATATATCACGATACCAATAATCTTAAAATTTTTTAGAACTGTTGAATAATTGGGTGAAACTGAAATTTAAAAATTGTCTAGTCAATTTTATCAATTCAATTTAAAAGTTCTCCCAGAAGGGACATAAGTAAATTTTTAACAAACCACAAACCACATAAATAAATTTTTAAAAATTATTAAGCTTGAAGCTGTATAAAATTCCTTCCATTTATACCATTTAAAAAACTGCTAACTAAAACTTCAATAAATTCTTTAGATTGATATCAATCTAAAAATTTTTGAAGTTAAAGCTTCTTTAATTTTTTTCTACTGATAATTATTCAAAAAGTTGGTTAATTTGGAATGTAATGTTTCNAGGACAAAAAATGTCCAAAAATGCAAAAAATGCAAATGTCATCAAAATCCGGGCCTTAGTCATAACAATGTCTCTATTGATTTTTATTTAAAAATTCAAGCTTGAAGCTTCATATATGCATGTTATGTAATAATTTAAATAATGTTTTATTAATAACTATACTGAAAATAACTACAGGGCCCACCAGGTAAATCCGTTCAAGGACCACCTGGTCTACCAGGTCCTCCAGGGGCCCCCGGCAGCACTGGATATCGCAACCCATACTGGACTGTGAATGAAAACCCAGGAAGAAGAGGTATTTATATTCAAACATGATAAGTTATCTAGAATCTAAAAACAGTTTAATATATTTTTATCATTTTCATTGTCAAGCGGTTACAGCTAAATGTTTTGCATAGTTACAAACTTGATAGTTAATATTTAGTTGTTTAATTAAACATTACAATCAAGCATTTTTACAATTAACGCATTTTTGCTTCCATAAGTAATTATTTTAAATTTAATATTTCTAACTTAAAAATTTATTTTTGGAGAATATCATTCATTTTAAAATAAGTATTCACAATTATAAAAAGTGGTTTATTAATTGTTTCAATCATTGTTAACAGCGATCAGGTATGATGTCAACAGACTTAAGATAAATAAGAAACTTAGTCCCTGTTTAGGTAACATTATAGATAAATAGGCTAAAAATTTATAACTGACCTAATCAGCAGTAAAATCAAAATAATTATGTTACGATATTTTTCGTTATTTGCTTAGTTTAACTTTCCAAAAAAAACATTAACATTTTGACCACAATTACAAAGATTTGTTTTATGTTAGTAAAGGTAAGAAACAAAACTTTCTAATCGTATTCTATTACCTATTTTCTATTAAAACCACTTTATTTTATAAGATCCATCAATACTGCATAAAGGATAATAACATTTGAATTAGAAATGATTTTTTGGAGTTATTTACATTCTAAAATGATGTTATATCTTTGGAATCTATCAGCCCTGCAAAACAATATGAATTATATTGAAATTTAATACTTTACATAAGAAAATGTTAATATTTTTGTCTACATATATGTACACAAATCCATTACAATACGTTTATTATTTATATTTCAACAATTAAAAGAAATTTTCTTTTTATTGTAGGAAATTGTATTTGCCATTATCAAATTATAAATTTATGCGGGGGGAAAATGCTAATTTTTAGTTTGTGTTTATCAGTTTTTTGGATATGTTAAATAAAATTGATATGTGGATAATGTTAAATGGATGTGTGGGATAATGTTAAATGAATCCTAATTGAAATAAAAATTATTTTTTTAGCCCTAGTGCCCATATAAGGTACCCATTATTATTTCAATAAATGAAGCATTTATATAGACATAGAATAGATATTAACTCTTTCATTTGACTAAATTGTACATACATGGTTTCATTACAAGCATACAGAGGAATTAAAGGTATAAGATCATTTGCCAGATCAAAAGGTAAGAATTGTAATAATTTATTTTTTCAATCCAAAACATTTAAAATTAAAATTTAAATTTATTTCCTGCGTAATTTTTTAAACCATATCATTCTTTCATAAGAAAATAAATATTTTCTAAATTGCTGAAATACTGTGTAATCTTTAAACTTTTTATAGTACAGTGCCAGCTCTTATAATACAGTAATTGTTAAAATTACATTGTTCTGAGGATTTTTAACTTCATAATGTAGTAGATTTTCATAAAGGGCATATACAGTTAGAAAAAAAATTTCGAAGTTAAACTTTTTTAACACAATAAGTGCTAAATTAATTACCACTTTTATATTTTATTTAAACTGTTTTAATTTAAATTTTGATTAAACATGAGATGTTTTATTTTACAGAAGGGTTATATTGTTCTATGATAAACAAATTTTGAAATTAAAGATTCAACTTTCAATATTACCTCAAATGTCATAGATAAATTAGAAATACATTTTGAATTTTTCCTTATCACTCAAGTTTTACTATCTAAGTCCTGTTTCTAATTTGCATTTCTATTAATTTTCTGTTAAAATTGACTGAAAAATATTTAAATGCAAATGCATTTAATACAATGTTACATTGTAGGAAAACTTACTCAAAGTTCTTAATGGAATATTAAAAGATTTTTAATCAATGAAGAGAAAGAAAGATCTGAAATTGAAAAATACAGTATTTACACTTACTATTAAACAACTTCAAACTAAAATGAAAATTACATAAATAGAAGTTGGGATAAAAATTACGAACTTCTGATGTTATTGATAAAGTAATTATTTTTTTATATTTTACTCATTAGGAGTACAAGTTTTCCCAGGTCCACCAGGACCTCCCGGCCCACCAGGGCCCCCTGGCTCTCCAGGGAAATCTGCGACTGAATCAGCACCTGAAGAACTCAGGAGACCTACAGTTGTTCCTGGGGTAAAACATTATAATTAATATACTCACATATTCATAAAATTTTCATTCTTTTATGTTTAATAAAACAAATTTATCTTTAAAATTTTTTATAATTAATGTAACAGAAGAAACACATCAATAGAAAAAATAGTTACATATTATAAAAGTGATAGAAATTGATATTTTCTTAGCATCTTAACTTAAATAGGTCCCAGGATATTGTGATCCTTTTCCTTTTATTCTGGGATCAGACTTAATTTACAGTATTATTTAATTTCAATACATTGAGTGTGCTAGTTCACAATATAGCTCCTTTTGGCTCTAGTGGCACTAAATTCTACATTTAATTTATCAATCTCAACATAAAACTGTCTTTTGTACGGCTGACCGAATTAAACACATCTCTCGTATAAATTTCATCATAATAGCGTTATTTTACTTTTAAACAAGTAAATTTTTATAAAAATTTGAAAGGAAAATTATATTAGTCTGTAAAGATTGCTCCAATATAATTAGCAAACAAAATTTCTCATTATCTTGGAGGATATAAATAAGATTTCTAATTACCTTAATCTGTTCTCAACAATAAACAAAACTAGTAACTATATAGCATCTTTTGGCATTTATTTTTTTTTTACTGTAAAATATAAAGAAATGTTCCATGTTACTTGATCGAAACTTAAAACTTATACCTTATTTTTAAATGCAATTTATATCGAAAAATTGATCAACATCTGTATAACGCTCGTGATATTTTCATATCGTTTAAACTCGCCACATGCTTCCTCTAAAAGCATAAAAAGTAGTTTCATCACAATAACACAATATTGATTAACATGAGTGCATGATCCCTATTGTTAGAGGCCAAAATAACTATGCTGGTCAAAAAAAGCAGACACTTACATAAAGTGGAACACCACTTTCATTGTTGCACTTCATTGCAAGATAAACAGGATACAATGAAAAAGGAACATAGACATCAAAAAGCAATTCATAAAATCAAAATGACGATAATCTATAGGATAACAAGGAGGAAGACACATAATAAGCACTAAAAATACATACAAATAGAATTTACATACTATTAATTCCAACAACTAGATGTCTAATATTTAACTATTGAAATCACTGAAAAAGATAAATACATGCTAATCCTTAATTATGATGTAAAAAGACACAACAGTCAACAACTGCACCCACTGGTGGAAATCTCATGTAAACAAATGTCAGAATTTAGCTAGTAATGTCCGTTGATTGACACGATTGGTCAATTGATGAAACATTACATGAACAATAACACGTTGTTTCTCTACACAATAATTAAACATTAAGTAACATGTTAGTCCTAATTACCAAGCAGTTAGGAAAACTAAGAAATATTTAATTAAATCTAAAATAACAAGGCAACGTCAAATAATTTATAAACTAGTAAAATTGTTCTATCAAAAAAAGTCATTATGAATTTTTTAAATATCAATAAATTTATAGTATATTATTAAACTATTACTTAAATCATTCATATTCAACATGAATTTAATATATGGTTAACATTTCATTTCATGAATCAAGTATAGTTAAATATATAAAACATTCACACTATATGAATGCTAAATTATTAAATTTTACAGGCGGTTACATTTAAAAACATGGATACGTTGCTACGTATGTCTGATATCAGTCCTCTTGGAACATTGGCATTTGTTTTGGAAGAAGAATCGCTACTTGTAAGAGTAAGCGAAGGATGGCAGTATGTAGCGGTATGTAATATATATATATATATATTAATAAATTAATGAAGTTTGCATTATTGATCATTTTATAATTACGTATGCAATTTTAAAAATAACATTGAAGTTGATTGTATTCTATTTTATGCACTTTATACATATTAACTGTTCAGCAATAATGGTACTCAATAGTTTATTGTGCTTAATACTTTGAAAAGAAAGTATTATTTTGTTAGAAATATCAAATTTTTGTGGTATTAATCAAAATTATCAAAAAAGTTAGAAAAAAACTACCCAGTAAATAAATGTGTATTACAGTGACACTATAACATTTGGCCAAAACGATAACAACTGCATACTTCTTAAATTTTCAAAAATATGACAGTTAAACAAAATATGTGGCTATACACATTTGATAGAGTTAAATTCATAAATTATTCCATTTTGTTCACTAGAGTATAAATTATTCATGAAATATCCTATTTAAATAAACACAAATGCATAGATCACCTAAAATATTATAATGGTTGAAAAATAATGCTGCAAAACTGTAATTTTATATTATTATGCCCAGTAAATATGCAAGGAGGTCTAATATAAATGATAATTATTTATAATAACATTTTAAAAAAACTTTTAGAACATGCCACTAAAAACAAAACTAAAAATATACGCACTTACAAATGTCAACTCCACAAAGCATTAAGCGATGTTCATTAGAACTGAAAGAGAGGAAATTATGAATATTTTTTCCAGAAGCAGGTACCTTTGTTATATTACAATAAATTTCTATACTATTTATAACAGAAAATTTTAACAACTATAAATATTGAGCAAAACGTTAGAAAAATACAAATTCTAAAATAATAAAGAATATAAAAATTTTCTTTGAGAAAACTCATGGCTATCTTATTAAATCAAAACATATCACTATATAAAAATATAGGTTACCTCTAAAACGCTGTTACTGTGCACATTATCTAGATATGAAGCTTCACTGTTTTCCTCTGTTAAAGTACGGAATCAAGGGTTTTTAGTGTATTACCTATAATAAGCACATTTACAGCTTCCTTATAATTAAAGTTAAAAAGTTTTATTTTATTCTATCAACTAATTTGTTTAAATGTTCTGATTTGTTTTTTTTTTAGTTATCATAAAATAAATAAATAAATGAAATTATGTTGATATCCTTAATTGTAATGATATTTTAAACTGTTTGATTCTTGTTTGGTGTTATAGTTTTTAAAGTAATTGATGATTGATTGAACCTACTAAAACAATTAATTTGAAGTAACATTTCAATTTTTCAGGTCTATAATAGTTTAATTATGACCTGTAACTGTGGTTGTTAATTTAAGCACACAGAAACGATGCTGATGCTCTCACAAAGATCATATTTTAATTTTAACGAAATCTTAGAATATGTGCAAATTAAATAGATAGTTTGCATATTACCCAAATAATTTAAGAAATGATTGTCATTTTAACAGAAATTATAATAAATTATAATATAACTTTTGTTTTAGCTGGGATCATTGGTAGTCCAGTCTACTCCTAGTCCAACTGTAAGTTTAATAAGTTCTTTTTTTTAATACCAAACAATGATTAGTTTTTTGAAATAATAGTTTGTAAACCATTAATTTTTTTTTTTTTTTTTTAGAAACCCCCAACTACCCATGCTCCATTTAGTCCACCAGTAGATAACCTCCGACTAGATAAAGCACCTCGTGTAAGTAATACAAATTGATAGTTTTGGTAATGGCTTCATTAATTCTTTTAAATTCAAAACAGTTTTTGAAAATAATACTTAAAATATACATGTAATTGATTAGAAGAACTATGTTTTAGTTGCTAAACCTTTAAATGAGGCAATTTTCAATGATTCTGTTAACTTTGTTAGATTCACTAAAATTTTAATTCTTTTAAACTGAAGACCTTAGTGGAAGACAATTAGAAAATAATGCTTAAAAAGCATGACAAAAACAGTAAAAACTATGTTTTAGTTGTTGTCTTTAAATAAGACAATTATTAATGCTAATAGATTTCTGTTGAAAGAATTGGAGATGAAAGATAAATATGAAAGTCATTATGGAGAAATCTTCAGAGGAAGGCATTGGCCCACATTGGGCTGTCTGGCAAACTATGATGATGATGAGATTTCTGTTGATTTTGTTGGATTCACTAAAATTTAACTTTACTTAAAGTTCTTCATTTTACAGAAAAATTTTATATTTTAAAAATTGAAATGAATGAATTTTAATTTGTTGTTTACATTAATTTTTTTATGGTTCTTACATTTTTGCTTTCAAACTGAAAGATGTGGAAAAAGGTAAGCAATTTATGTATGTTATGTAATGTTGCTTAATTGGAAAAAAAAACTTTTAAAATTTCAAAAACTTTGTATCATAATTTTTATATTATTCAATAGTATATACAGATTCCTAAAAGTATAATTTTAAAATCATATAACCAAAAAAGGACACTATACTTTTGCATATTGTTGGAATAAGCTTTCAAAAAACTTTATAAGTATTAAAATAACAAAAAACATTTATTTTTTGGACTCACAGATAATTCAGTTTTTATCTTATTCAAGAAAAATAAACCACAATTTTTATTAGAACTGTAGTTTCTTTTGCATATAAGATTCTCTCTTTATATTTAAAGGTTTTGAATAATTGAATGACAAAATAGGACTTAATTTGTGTCCTTAATGTCTNTAATTCAGTTTTTATCTTATTCAAGAAAAATAAACCACAATTTTTATTAGAACTGTAGTTTCTTTTGCATATAAGATTCTCTCTTTATATTTAAAGGTTTTGAATAATTAAATGACAAAATAGGACTTAATTTATGTCCTTAATGTCTTTTATTTATAATTTGACTAATAAGATTGATAAATCCAATTTTTAAAAAAAAGCTCTACTTGTAATGAAAGTGCTAATGTAATAAATTCCTAACATAATACATGAATTTTTAGTTACGAATGGCAGCCCTTAACCAACCATTTTCTGGAGATATGCATGGAGTCAGAGGAGCAGATTACGAATGTTATCGACAATCTAGGAGAGCCAACTTACGGGGTACTTTCCGAGCATTCCTAGCATCCAGGGTTCAGAACCTCGATAGCATTGTACGCTTCGCAGACTACAGCCTTCCAGTCATCAACCTCAAGGTAAACACTGCAAATTATTCCTATAAAAATATTTTTAATTATTACAATATTGTAATATATTTGTGCAAAAAAAAAAACTATTAAGAAACTCTCTTTTCACAGCATAAGATTAATAAATTGAACTTAAAAAAAATTTTCACTCTCAATGCCAGATCTAAAATCATATAAGAATAAGATTCAAATCTAAGTTTAGCCTTATACATATTTACTACAACTGTTTAAATTTTTCAGTATTATTTACTTTCAAAAAAGCAGTTTTAAAAATTACTTTAAACTGAGATCTTTGATACTTTGTTAACCTAAAAAAATCTGCTAATATTAAGATTTTACAAAAAAAAGAAGAAAAAAGAAAACAAAGAAAGAAAAAAAAAAGAAAAATATGAAATTGAAAAAATACAAATACAGAAAAATGTCTAATATCAACATATTAAATTGAGGCCATTGATTCTTGTGTGAAAAGATCAGCTTAACTGTTCAACATTTTACAAAATAAAAATTAAACGTTCAGAAAAAGTTAACAATTATAGTGAAAAATAAAACACAAATAAGAAAGTTTAATGCATCTGTCTTTTTATTGCAGGGTGAAGTGATATTTAATGCCTGGAAAGACATTTTCACTGGTGCAGGAGGAACATTTCCTTATCCACCTCGCATTTACTCCTTTGATGGTAGAAATGTTTTAACTGATAACAGGTGGTAAGTTACAAGCTTTGATTTTAACAAAATGTCTTAAAATTCAAAGATTTCTAAACATATCATACAGAAGAACTGAGAAAGATATTTAATTATCAATATTTAATATATATCTTTAAAATAAAAAGTTTACATCCTTATATGTTGTGAAACATTAAGAATTATACATAAAAATAGGTATATTTGTAATTTGAGCTTTAAGGGTAAGATAAAGTTTGAACAAAAATTAATAGTATTTCACTTAATTGCATTTAACTATGACATTTAATAAAAAATAAACTTAACTAAAAGTTTCTTAATTTTAAAGATAATCTAGTTTATGTATGATATTATAGTAATTTAAAAACTCATAAATATATTGAGCTAAGAGGTTGGGACAATTTTATAAAATTCACTAAAATTAATTGGCGGAAAAAAATTTCAAAATTTCATAACATCAGACTTTAAACAAACCTTAAATGTAAAACAATTAATTTCAAACAATTTAACAATTTTGAATTAAAGATTAAATTTTATTATTTTTTATTTTATTATTGGTATGTGTAAAAAATCCTAAATCCCACTTTGCATTATCCATATTTTGAATAAAATCTTTGCTCGAATTAAAGACAGTTCACTTCATATAGTCCTTTTTGTAATGTTTCATAATTCAATAAAAACATTTAACTACTAAAAGAGTGAAAATTAAGTTTTAAATAAACAATTTTAACCGGTTTCTTTAATCTTAAATTTTTAACTAACTGTTTTTAAATGTAAATATTTTGATTTGAGTTTACTTATGATTCTAAAATGTATTCTTCGTAGATTTTTCTCTCAATTTTTTTCAATAAAACAATGAATTTGATTAATTTATTCTAAAAAAACTATTAATTCATCTATTCAAAAAAATTTAGTTAATCAAATTACCAATGTCACATAACCAAGATATAAGTATTGGATATATTTATATTCATTACCATAATTGAATAAAAAATAAAGATAAAAGGTGTTAAAATGTTGATAGAATTTGATTAATATTTCCAGGGCTCAAAAACTGGTGTGGCATGGTTCTGACAAGCATGGAGTTCGGGACTTAGAATCATATTGCGATGCTTGGCATTCTGCAGGCTTAGGCAAAGTTGGAATGGCAAGCTCTCTCCTACGGGGGCGTCTCCTCGACCAAGAACGCTATTCTTGCAACAACTCTTTCATCGTCCTGTGCATTGAGGCCACCAGTCAAGATGACTATCGAAAACGGAAAAAACGTGAAATCGATGAAGACTTTTCTGGTTCCGACGATGAGGATAATCAAGAAATGACGTGGGAGGAATTCCTCAGGAAAGAAGAAGAGGAAAGTGCAGCAGAAACAAACGAGATTTATGTATAAAGCCAAATTTATTTATAAAAAGAAAAATTCCATGAACAAAATGACAGATTTTTTTTTCTATTGTATAGATCGCAGCTGGGGTTCCTGACTTTGATATTCTTAAATTATGCTTTTCATTCGTTAAAGAAATAGACTTTTCTCTGAGAAAGAATCTTTGATTCATATCCTTTTGTATTATATATCAATCTTTTGACTTGAAGGAGATCAATGATTTGCTATCAATGATTTGCTACTTATGTGTTTACTTAACTGCCATCATCTTAGTGTGATAGATAAGTGTGTTACTAGACATTCATGTCTAGTATGTCTACTAATGTCTAGTAAATATGTAGTATGTTTTAGTAAATATGTCTAGTAACACACTTATCTATCATTAGTGTGATAGATAAGTGAATTACTAGACATTTTTGTGAATGTATGTACAGATCAAATCTATGTCTGTAAATTTTAGATTTCTATCATGTCACTTGCACTCAAATATATTTATTTATTTCCGAATTTAGTAGTAAAATTTTATTATCTGTACTTAAATAGTTAACAATTATCTATTTCTGTGTAGTCTTATTAACATATCGATATATATATAAGTGGCCAATTGTGTATTACGTAGATCAATGTTAATTTTTTTTTCTTTTATTAAAAATTATAAATCACTATTGATTTTTTAAAAAAGCTTCTATATTAGGTAAAAACAATGTAATTTCAAAAGAAAATAAATCAAAGTATTAAAAAAAATAGAAGTTTTTAACTGAATACTTTTTTATTTTCTGAAGTCATTCATTTAAAATAAGATTTTTTTTATTTATTGTATCAAATGATAAATATGATTGATCCTAAAATATTTATTTACAATAATAATAAAAAAAAAGCTTCTCTATTAGGCACAAAAAAATTTAATTTTAAAAAACAATCAAAGTACTAAAAGAAAGTATTTGTTTCCACTAAAGGTCATTCATTATTATTGAAATACGTGTTTTATTTATTTTAATTTTCATCATTGAAAATTTTGTTTATTTAAAAATTTATCTAAAGATAAATTTTTAAATAAACAAAACCTGCTTTATTAATAAACAAAAAGTGCAATTTTAATAAATATTCAGTTAAAGAATAAACAGCTAATTAGGACTAATGTTTTCCTAATTTCTATCCCATTTAATTAAACTAAAATGTAAAAACAAATAATATTTATTGTTTTAAGCAAACCAAAAAGTAATAATTAGGACTAATTACTTCAGTTATTTTCATTAATTTATTCATTTGAATTGAAGTAGCAAATGTAAATACAAGTAAAATTCAAAGCTTTATGCAAGAATAAAAGTAAATTTACGTATTTATATTACATGTATTCTGTTGTTTTGTAGAAATGGTATTGAAATGTAACTATATAATATGTCTGTTCCATATCATGTCTATTCTGTCATTTCTATGTGCAACATGTGTATTTAATGTTGATATTTCATCGCTGATTTGATTTATGCTAGTCACTTTTTGACTTGACAAATAGGAATGGATGTGTTTCTTCACGCAATCATTATAATGCTAATCATTTTTCATATTTATTTAAGTATTTCTTAGAACTATGAAGCGTTTTGTGGAGTCAAAACTGTTGAAAAAATCAGTGAAATATAATTGCTTATGTGCAATTTGTGATTGTCTTGCTTGTGGAAGATTTGAAATCTCATCTGTTTTATACTTTTTAATCGCTATGCAATACAAATTGTGAAAATTGAACAATGTGTGCATGTTATTTATTTGTATTGATGAACTATGTATGTATTTTGTGTTCATATCTGGTGAAAGTCTAGGAATTGAATAATTTCAAAATTAACCGTTCTTTAAAAACAAATAAAAAATTCAAGAAATAACCTTTAATTTAGATTATAAATAAAAAAGCTAGAAAGAAAAAAAAAAGTCAATAAATTCTGAAACAAGAATTTATGTAATTTTTGTAGGATACTAAAATAGATATTATTGAACAATAGTAGGCATCATTGATCCGTATTCTAAATAATTCCTATCAATTTTGAAAATGCATTATTTACTCTTTGATAAATGTATCTTTCTCTAAATTATTCTAAAATTAAAAATTAATTTAAATTTTAAAAAATTGGTGCTATCTACTTTGGAAATTTCAGCTTTATTAGTAGTTTAATACAAAGAGATATGAGATATTGCATTAAAATTAATTTTAAAGAACTAATCATGATAAAATTTCAAATGATGTAGGATTAAAATTAAAAACTTAATGACTGGATTCAATTATTAGATTAAATAAACAATGATTGGTCCCCGAATTTTATATGAAAAAAGTACATGAAAGAATATATACAAAAGACTCAATCATGAGCAAAAAGAGTTTAAATAAAAAATAAACAAAAAGCATTGGTCATTAAGAATTATTAAAAAAAAGCCTACTCCCAAGTATAAGATAGTAAATGAGATATTGTTGAGTTATATATTGAAAATGTATGATTTACTCTAAACATAAAATTAATAATTGATCTTGGATTCTTGGGAAATTTTAAAACCTAAAGGCAGCACTGCAATTGAAAAAACTACAATTTAAAAATAATAATAATAAGAGCGATGTCATAAGAATGATGAGGGTATTTAATATTTAAAAATAAGAATTATTTATAAATTATCACCAAGTATTTAATTATTATTCATTAATTTTACAATTTGAACCTAAATCAAACAGCACAACAAATTCTAAACAATTTAAATATATCTTTAAAATATTTCATTTTAATCTAGACTCCATTTGTTTATTATTTTAAAACAGTATTCCGATAACTGAATTCTTGTTTTCATTTATATTTGTTTGTTTGAAATAGTTTACATCAATTTTATTGGTGCATTTATAGAAAGCAAAATTATGCTGAATTGGTGTAAATGACAATGACAATATTATGAGTATTAAATATTTGATAGATTCACGACTATGAATTCGTATTTTCCAATGATGAAACACATGCAACAACACTATGCATATATTTATACATATAACATTATCTATTATTTTTTCATAATAAACAGGACTACTCAATAGAAACATTAAATTCTAGATCTTTATAATACTATAGTTTTAAAATAATATTGAGGCAATATAATTTCACACTAAAAAAAGCTTGATGAATTTTATACAGCTGATAATTTTATCTTTAAAAAAATATATGGTAATTTAATCTAACAACTCATATAAAAAAGTGTAGAATATCTCATTTTTAATAACAATTTTCATAATAATAATAAACATGAATAATGTATAAAAACTGTTAATATGTTAATAAAATTTAAACAATCCTCTCATAAAAAATTAATTTAATTGATCGAAAAAATTTTAAATCCAAATGAAATCTTAATAAAAGCTTTCAAAAATTGCTCTATGTGTTTCAATGAAAGTTATCTGATAAAATTGGTTTTTCAATCTAAATAGATATTTTTTAGAATCTAAATTAAATAGAAATCTTTTTTAAATGTTTATATTTTTGTTTATTTGGCACAAAAATTAAATAAACAGAAAACATTATGAAATTAATATGAATAAAGATCTTTATGAGAATTTATAGATATAATGCTACTAGTTTTAAAGAAATTGAGGGAAATTCTGAAAAAATTAATGGAGTTTAAAAGAAATGATATTTTATAGTATAGAACTTCTTTTGCTTTGAAAATAATAAAGATCGAAATAATCACAACTGTACAATGAAATATTAATGTTAAATTACACTTTTAAAACAAGTTTGCCAGCTTTTGTATCAAAACAAAATAAATTTAAAAAGTTTCAATTAAATATAAACAAATAGCCTTTACAATATAAACTATTTTTGAATAGGTATAAATCACAACTTCAAACAAAAACATACATATATATATATATAAATTTGAAAAGGCTATAAGATGTTTTTTGTCTCTCCTATCAAATTTGTAAAAATGGATTAAGCTGGTTTTAATGAGAATAATTTTATTTGCATAGTATATTAATAGCATTTTAGTAAGAAAGCTTTATTTTCTAAATGAAAATAAAATTTAGGGATGAAAAAAAAGCATTTTCCCACCTAATTGTCAAGGCAAAAGTAACTTATACTATTTAATAACACTTCAATAAAATAGGGATTAATTTGTAAAATACAGAAGAAAAAATAAACAAATATTGTAAGTTTAAGCATTTCAGCATTTTTTTAAAATTTTGCAATTTGTCATGAACTTTAAAAATTAGAGATCAGGAAAAAAACTACATAGTATTAGAAATTATAATATAAGTATAGAATAAGAAAGTATTAACTGAATTAGTATATATATTCAAATAAAGATTAATTCAGAGGTGATTATGCTCCGGAAAAAATCCAGATTTCCGGATTTTTCCCTAACTGCGATCCGGAAGTTTCCGGAAATCTCAGGTCCAGAAGTTTTAAGAAATCATCAATCACATTTATGTATAAAAATTCTTGAAAATTTTATTTAAAAATATTAGAACTAGGCCATGGCACAGAATAGATCAAGATGGGAAAAACTTATTGGGCTGGCCTTGGCCTGTCATAGGCTGTAGTGCCCAAGAAGAAGAACTAGAATTTATACTTGGCATCTTTCCTTTGTAAATATTTTTCTGGTAGAATAATAAATGTATGAGAGATAAAAATAAACTTATACATAATTATTCATTTAAATTATGCTGTATATAATTTATTTAGTATTCAATGTTTTGAAAATATCATTGATTTAAATTTATAAAGACATTATGCGTCTTTAATAATTTTACTCAAGAAATTTTCTGGATTTTTGAGTTGGACTCAAATCACCCCTGTTAATTTAACTAAGAATCAAAACAGTAAAATAGTTTTTTACCTTCAAACTTTAAAAAAGCATGTGCACAATATGAAAAGATCTATAAAATACATTTCACATACAAATTACATATTAATGTGTTATGGTAGTTAGAATATTAATATGAGGCAGAAGAAAAAGGACTATAAATAAACTTACCCTTCTAGCATCTGTTCTTCAAACAAATCACTTAGCTTACAAAATCCTTCAAATATTTATCCTTTAAAGTGAGAAAACTAATAATTGATAATCAAATGGTTTAGCAAATGCAACCGAAATAAACATTTAACTCATTTAAAATTAAAGCTAATAAAATTTATAATAGTAATATGAGCTTTAAAAATACCATCTTTCATAATGATAAAAAAAAATTCAATCATACTTATTTTATTCATATTGCACTCAAATGTCATGTTGCATCCACTCTTTAATCATCATTATAGCAGATTAAAACCACTGTCATATTAAATCATATCACAGACAAGAAATTTACTTCTTAACGCATAAAGCAGAAAAGTAAATTTTCCCAGGTTATATTCAAAATGAAACAGCACACCCAAAACTCACTTCCGTCCTATGTATTCAAATATTGTACATCACTTCAAAATTAATTTGAACCTTCTTAATTTATCCGGGCAATGCAGATAGATAAAAAAATACATATAGGCAATTCTTGTATCTAAAAAAACATCACTACAGTGGATTCCAGGAAAATTTATATAGAACAATCACACTTAAACTTAAAAAAGAAAAACAGTCAAAATATTAAGTTGAAACCTTTGCTCTTCTCGCAGTTTCAATCATTACATCACATTTATCTGCGTGAACACAATACAAGCACAATCCAAATCCTACAATGGCAGTTACAATCACCAATATAGGCAAGAAAAATCATACCCAGGAAAATGAGTGTAGACACATAACAAATCAGTAACGAAAATTTTTTTATAAAAAATTTTGTCATAGAGATTCTTAACGAAAGAAGTTAACAACCTCCTAGAATGGAAGTTATAGACGTCTTACTACTAAACTAAATTCAGTGGCGCGACAGCCCATAGAGGGCCAAGGCCTAATGTGCCCATCTCAGTTTTCTTATCCTTGGGATCTGGGGTGCAGGAGCAGATGTTCCGGTCAGGTGGTCAGCCAAACGCGGAACCCCCAGTGTTGAGTTCCCAAGCATGTTTGGAACTCATTTATCGACCCACTGAAGGGATGAAAGGCTGAGTCAACCTTGCCCGGCCCGAGGACGTCTTACTACTATATTACAAATAAAAAAATTTAAAAAAGAAAGTTTTTATCAAAATTAATAGTAAAATATTGAATTTTGAGAATTTTCTAAACAAATCAGAATAACTTCACAACTGCGCTATCACAGGTATTTTTCGACTTAATATTCTATGTGATATGAGTTTGTACTTTACAACTATGAGATTTTCTAAATTCACTAGCCCTTCAAAATTTTGCTAAATCTTGTATATAAATTATAATATTAAAAAAAAAAAATTTTTTTAGCAAAATAGAATAACATTTAAATAAAATTAGTAATATTACATTATAAAAAAACTTACCAGTGCCTAACAAACAAGGCTCAAAACTTCTGTAACTTCAGCACAAATATGGTATAAAACCTTATTCCATATGAGATCAAATTGTGACTTCATCTAAGTAGTGCCGATTCATAACTTCCAGGCATGAAAAAAACAATAAACATTTTAGTTCTAGTCATCAAATTAATGTTTTCTAACTGTTACTTTTACATAACACAGGATTTGTAATTATTGGTATAGTAATTCTTATTACAAACTCATGTAAACCATGTATTATTTTAAATGAAATTGTTCATAAACAAATGCATTTGCAGTAAAATGGAGAATGGATTAGATTGGAAATTTTGGCTCAGATAATTTTTTAAATGAATAATTTTAGTATATGACTCTATTAATTTATGAATAAAACAATATCAAAAATTTATAACTAATAAATTATTCAAATTATGTTATATAACTAAAAAATAATCAAATTAAAACTACTATAATCTACAATAGTTGCCAAACTAAATAACAATCAATTTAGTTAGACGGCTAAAATTTAATTCATTATCATTACATTTTTATGATAGATGGAACAGAATTAATTTCAAATAAATGGAATAAATGTAATGATTATAGAGGGAAAGGAAGCCAGATAGCCAAAAGAAGCAACCAATCGATGAATAAACTTTTGAATTTATAACTATTTCAATATGAATCAATTTTTCAAGATATAAATATTTCACTCAAGAAAATAATTTTATGAAGAATAAAATATGACTTTTAGATATGATGAAGAAATTTTAGATCAATGTAATTTAAATAATCTTTGCATCTAAAAAATTTAGAGTATTTTTTTAGAAATAAATTCTTTACCTTAAGAGTAATTTACAATTACATTGCATAAAAAGAAATTTAAAATATGAATTAAAATTTTTCTTCCCCTTGTCCTTTTTTTCCCCTCCTACAAAGATTACACTCCCCTTTAAAATTCGATGAATTTGCTTTGAGCATCCAAATGCCTCTCAACACCACCTATTTAATGCTATTTTTTCGTATACAGATTCTTTCATCTTATTACTTTTAATTTAGAGGATGAAAAATATTTAAAAAATTGAAGATTGAGTTTTAAGTTAATTGTAAATATTAATCGTGGAATGTGGTACATTCGATTCTAAAGTTTATAGCAACAATTTGAGGAAACCGAAAAGAACCATCCAAAGTTGTGTTACTCTATGAGAATACCCTCGCTCCCAGTATTAGGCAAACACAAGATCTTCTGCTACAATTTAAATGAGATCCTACAGCCCGCACTTGCCTTTTCCTTTCTGACTTGCCTTTTCCTTTCCTTTCTCCTGCTCTCCTTTTCTGACAATGGGGAATTAATAATAAGTGATAAATTGGTTAAAAGTGCAGATGGCTGACATTGTTGGTGATGCTGAGTAAAATGCAAATATTATGAGAAGTTTTAGAATGCACATGGTGACTATGTTGAAAAATAAAGGACAGCTGTATCATTCAGAAATAAATAACTCATTAAATCCATGCAATTTTTTATGTACAGCAAAACTGAGGTCAGTTTCTGAAATCCCCTCATACAGTGGCAGAAGAAAGTATTTTGTAGCTAACTAGAACATCCATGTAAACACCTTCTATAATGCCGAAGCCCTGAAATTATGACAAACTATTGACACCAGTTTTCACTACAAATTTTTACTCCAATAATAATAGTTCCTGTGTAACAGTGAACTATTACTCAGCCTTTATGATATGAGATTCTTGAAACTGAAATGCAAAGTAATCATAGAAAATCCTGAATTAAAAAAAATTTCCTTTTTCAACAACTTGAAAAAGTGGCTTAAATTACTCCAAAAGCTTCAAATATATATTAACAGTAGGTAGAGGGTATAGACAATTTTATTTTCACTCAATATATGATGTTAGTTTAGAGGAATAAAAAAATCATTTTCCCACTAATTATGTCTGAGTACCATAACCAGGGGTGATTGTGAGCCCAAGTCAAAATTCCGGAAAATTTCTTGAGTTAAAAAAAACAAAAAACAGTTTAAATTGAAAAAAAATTAAACAAGGGTTTTTTCCTATATTTCTTAGTTTACTTAAAATATATTTAAAATTTTACACATACCTATACCATTTACAAATAGCTATGATGACCTGGAGAAGTAATTAAAATTTACAAATATGTCTTTCTTTCTCGAGTTTATGATTATAACAACTATTTACTGATAAAAAATTAATATTAATCATGAATATAAGCTTATAAAGTATCACTCTGGCTCTCCCTTACAAACAAATAAAATAAACTGTGTTTTTAAGTTCCACCTTTGAAAATTTGATTACCGGAAACTTCTGTGATAAATGATATTTTGAAACGTCTGGACCTTCGATCTCCGGAAACTTCCAGATAACTGTTAGCGAAAATTCCGGAAATCCGGATTTTTTTCCGGAGCACAATCACCCCTGCATAACTAATATATTTTTCCTAATGACATGTTGGAAAAAAGAGAGCTTCTTGGCAGAACACTAATATTTCCATAATTTAGGTTACCAAAAGTCAAACCAATGTGTATCTCTAAGAATTACAAAACTAAAATTATACCCTTAAAAGTATACAAAAAAAATCTTTTTTTTTAAATCTGAAAGTAGAAATGTCTTAAAGTAATAATAATGCGAGTTCTTATATGTAATCTATTTAAAATGACTTTTTCATTTCTTGTAAATGTTATTTAAATCAATCATTTTGCCTTGACCTTAATAGACATAGAAATTTAAAAGGTAACACTCACAGAAAGAGTATTCTTTCTAATAGTTAAGAATATTAGAGAAATAAAAAAAGAACTATGTGCAACAATATTGGAGCATATTTATTACAGTCTTTGCACATACAAAGTTTTTGCCAGACATTAATGAAACATACATCCACATCTATTAGATACACAGACTTGTGACATATTCATAATTATACAAAATCAATGAGAAAAAAAAGTAACAATTCTCTTTAAAATAAGATAGATGATTAACCCTTTAACTGCCTCGCCACTAGGGCAAATTTGTACAAAAGTTTCTATGATAAACACAAAATCTTCATTGACTAAAATGGGGTAAACTGGTTTCCCGTTAAAGAAAGCAACGAGGTTGTACTACTGGGTTTTTCAGTTATTAAATTACACTTAAGACATACATATAAAGGAGGTAAACAATCTATAAACATAAAAAGAAGATGCATATAAAGGAGGCAAACAATTAACTAAAAATTTAATGGTTTTACTGACCATTTGGAATTTGCTATTTTGTAACACTTTATAAAAATTAATTGGCAGTGGACTAATGTAAAGAAATTAGTTCAGATCTTATAAAGGTGCGACTAAACAGACAATAAACATATAACAAATAAAAATCCTTTTCTAAAGAAGTAGTAGAAATGAGAAAATGCTAAAACGATTTTAATCTCAAGCTTAATTATACCAACTCCCAACATAACGATTATGAAATTATTATTTTGAGATTCAATATGATCAGTTCAAGTTTTTGTATAAAGAAGTTTAAAATTTATAACATTATAGGGAAGAAATAATAAAATAACAAAGAAAGCTTAGGTACTAGTTTCCTGTAGTAGATATTTAGTATATTATCAAAGAAAAACATCATTAAAAATTATTTCTTATTATGAATTTTTTTTTATTATTATTATTATTTGTTTCCTGGATACTTTAAAAAAAAAAGCAAAATAAAAACTAATAGATCAGGGACTACCAATAAAAACATTAGATTAAAAATTAGAAACGTTCAAAACCAAAATATAAATGTTTAACTTACTGAATTTCTATCAAGTTTTTCTTAACTCTTTTGACCCCTTCCCGACTTTAAAGACTAGTTAAATAGGAAATCACACGATATCTTAAATACCTACAAACATTTTAGAAACAGTTGCTTGATATCATTAATTCAAAAATCGTGAGAATGTAAAGCTAAATATAAAGACTGATTTAAAAAAAAAAAAAAAAAAAGATGACTCAATATCTTGAAAAAGCAATCATTCCAATGTATCAAACATGTAATAAAAACTATAACATGTGTAATAAGTTTTTTTTAGGTGAATAACACTTACGATGCTTACAATAATTAAAAATACATCACAATTGGAAAATTATGCAATTAGAGCTTCAATTAAAATATCTAAATGACATTAACAGAGATATCAATCTTTATCGGAATTGCAGATACTAGTGACAGTTTAAATTTGAAAAAAATAATTCCGACCAGCAGAAAACTACGATGGATATATACAGCTTTAACCAAAGAATTTATACTTCAAAATTTTATACTAATTTATATAATATTTCTGCAAGTTTGCTGTTTCAGTTCTTTTCCTTACCTTATTTCTTCACAACACACTCAAGAAACAAACAGTTGAAAACAAAAATGCTTTCAACGAAGGAACATATAAGAATATTTCTTTACAAAATATGATATGAATAAAATAAAAATGTCACATGTTATCAATACAAAAAAACTTCACAACTAAACTCACAATGATATCATTACTTATATGTTTAAAAAGGGTGTATTGAGCTTGTAATTTTTGTGAAATAAACATGTAATGTTTAAATAGAGAAGATTTCTGTATCATGATCTGCAGCAGAATAATTGTCAAGTCTTGACAACTTCCAGGCAGCAGCCTGCGAGAAGCTAAAAAAAAATCCCAGAATGGGACCATAACTACCTACCCTCTAGCAAACCTTAACTGATTTTTATAAAATCTATTTGGCGCCTTGACGTTTGTAGTTGGCGTGACAGATCATGATATGGAAATATTCCCCTAAAATAAAATCAAAATAGGTTTTGTAAATTTTTTTTAAAAATTCTGCGAAGTCTTATTTTCTTATACAGTACTAAGCCCCATTTCTGGACATCCGTTTACCAGACGCATCTATTTTTGGGACACTTTTGAACAATCATTTTTTTTCTTATGCTTGCGGTTTGTTAAAAAGTATTAGAAAAGTTTTTTAATATTATTTCTTCTTGCTCTCTCTTCTCTGATAGCTTAACATCCTTTATTTTGTCTCATTAAGCACACTAAAAAGGCTGTTGAAAAGACAAGAGCAGTTAAAGAAAATCCAAGTTTGTGGATAAGAAAGAATAAACTATGAATATTGATGAAGTAGAATATCAACAGTGGGGATATTTCCGTATTGTGATCTATCACACCAACTACATTCGCCAAGGTGCCAAATAGATTTTATACTTACAAATTTTAAAAAGAAAATAAAACATGTAGATGTTTCTCGGGAGGTGCTACGAGTTATACCTTTCCAATTGGTCCCTCTCTGTGATGTTTTTTTTAAAGTTCTCGTGGGTCACTGCCAGGAAGTTTCCAGATTTGGCGATTATTCTGCCACAGATCACGATACGGAAATCTCCCCCTGTTCTTACTTTTAGTTTTTTTTTTTTAAATTAATTTTTAGAATTCTTTAATGGCTTTTTTTATGTTATTTTTATCTGATAATCTGTGCTACTAATTCTTCATAACATTAGGGAAAAGAAAAACACATATTCATGAAAGAGATAGTTCAATTTATTATCTACTTAAGTAATCCTACAAAACTAAAGTTTTAAGATATTATCTGATTAAAAAGCTTCAAAAATACATAAATGAGAAATATCAGTCGACATGTTTCAAGCACTCCAAAAATAGACATCCATTTTTAAGACTTGGCACATGTGAATGAGAGCCTTCCAATTCACATCTGACAAGTCTTGAAAATGGACATCTATTTTTGGAGCACTTGAAACACGTCAACTGTTATTTCCTATTTATATATTTTAAAAGTGAATCAAGTTTTTAATCAGATAATATTATCTGCCCTCATTTATTTATATACGTAATTACATTTTGTTATACTAAATATTTGATTTTTTGAATGTCATTCAACCTATAAGAAAACATTGCTGCTCGAGAATGTAGTCCATTATTGTCTACAAATTTCTTTTCTTTTTTTCGTTTAATAACACATGTTTTGATCTTTCATTACCTTAACTTATTATCCAAACTCCCAACGATTCCAGATATGGGACTTTCCACTGCAATACAAATCTTAGACAAAAAACATCGGTTATACCTTATTTTTCAGTGCATCAAAAATACTAATAAAGTGAAAACAAAGCTCGGCAGAAAATTTTGCCTGATGTTATTTTTAAAATTTACTTAATTTAGAAAGTTTCCTTATAATAATGATTTAAAAGAGATTTTTTTTTTTACTTTTTTTACAATAAGCAGATGAGGAATGTTATGAATAAAGGGGAATGTCATCTTTTTTATATCCCATAATATCAACATATGGGATTCAAAAGAAGCACCAATAAATTTTTTAAAAATGCAACAAGAAATTATGTTAATAAACTGAAAATAATGCTCAGCAGTTAAGTGTAATATACCTAAACTTAGCCTAGAACAAAACAGTCTAAGGATCTAGAGTTAATTAAACTTAGACAACCTTTAAAGCTAACTCAATACTGATGTAATAAAGAAGTAAAAATTAAATAAAAAAAATTCTTAGCAAGAAGCAAAATGTCATTTGTCTTCTTTGAATCCCATAAAATACCAACTCCTAGACAAGGAAGCACCAATACCACGTTTTTCTTCCTTAAAAACCTCAGGAAACTTGGTTAATAAGCTTTCCAAATATCTAGAGTTCAAGTAAGGAGCAAAAGATATAAGATAGGAACATATGTAATCAAGACTAGCCCCAAACGGATGAACATAAAGAAAGGTGCTAATTAAAGTAAGAAGAAAGACTTCTCTCTGTCGAATATCAATTCCATCTGGATTATCTCTTCTAGCAGAAGTTTGGTTATGGCACAAATTAGGTTGCTCGAGATTTTTAGGTTCATTCTTTTTCAACTTAGAAGCTAAAGCTTCCATTTTATATTTTTTTAGCTTTGCGATGCTTGCATCGAATCCTAAACACCTCTCTTTTAAACTGTCAACAGAATATTCTTGTTCTTGAACCTTTTCCTGTATTTCTCGTTGAATTATGTCACTCTCATTTTCAGCACCTTGAAGCTGATTTTGTAAATTATCAAGCTGTTCTTTAAGCTCCTGATATTCCTTTTTGAGTTCAGCTTTTTCGTGATCCTGGCTACTATCGGGAGATCTGTTCACGTCGTCATCGTTCACGTCTTCGTCGTCATCGTCCTCTTCGCTCGTGAGGACCCGTTTCAGCTTCATGGCCTCTTCTCTCCAGTAACTAATATTTTTACGCTGCGGTTTGGTGAACTGATCCCATACTTTCTGCTTCCTGGAAACTTCTATAACACGACAAATTTCTTCAAATTGGTCTGATAAATTACTTAAACCTTTAGACACTTCTCTTTTTTCTTCATTAAGCTCTTCTTTTATTTGAGTTTTTTCACTCATCAATCTCCACACTTGATTGTGAGCGTATTTAATCATGTCTATAAAATCATTGTTATTACTTTTATTACAATCTCCTCGCTTTAACCATCCTGTGAGGACTTTCAAACCTTGACGAAGAGTATTCTTCTCTTTGAGCATTTCATTTACTTTATCAACCTCTTCAGCTGTGAACGTAGGCAAAGGTGACGGTGACCGACCAGCAGCTTGTTGCGAATCTTTAGAGCCACCTTCTGTTTCTCGCCGCAGTAGACCTCCCACATTATCTTCATTCCTCATGTATGACATCACTGTTGAGTTAACAGTCATGTTAGGGTCAGAAATGGGCATTCCGTACATGCGATTATCAGTCCATGTTCTGCCATAAGGCATTATAAATGGATTTTGGTTTGAAGATGGGCCAAGCCATGAGTAAGATTGTGTTGTTGAAGTGGTAGGTAATGAAGCAGCTTCTGAACGCTGTGGGTCAGTAGCTGGATTTTGAACTGTCTTTTGCGTTTCTGAATCAGTAGTAGAATTAGGTTCGGTGCTGCATGAGGAAGTTGGCGGTGGACACCACTGTTTATTGCCTGAACCACCGTTTTTATTTTCCTCCGAAGAAGAAAATGGATTATTACGTTTCATTATGGAAAATATGGCATTAAACCGAATCAAGAGATATTTCTAAATGTGTGTGGGAACTAAATTCCAAAATGTAACACAATTTGCTATTTTTCAGTCCAAAATAAGCTATTTCTACAAAGTTACTTATATTCAAATTGACACAACTCTCAACACCTTACCAACACGAACACAACAACAAAGCAAGCATTAGGTGTTATCCAAAACGTGAGTCTAGCAGTGCAGTAAGAAAAGTTCGTTCGTAATAATGTTTATAAGGCTAAACTACAGTTCTAAAAGTGAGCAATTTACAACAAACTGATTGAACTCAAAAGTTCAGAATATTCAACTCTGCATCAAAGACGAGCGATTAAACTTTGAATACACTAGATCACGCTATTGGTCGAAAATGACATCACTGTTTGTGGATAGGGACATGCTGTGCATTGGATATTATTTTGGCGACAGATCTTGATTTGGCGACAGACTTTAGATTTAGTTTTCAAACGCTCTATGTATACACGTGTTATTAATGTTTCTTGTTTTTATTTATCAACTTGTTATTATTTATGTTTAATTATGAATCAGGTGTTTTGCGAAAAAATATTTAAACAAAATAAAAATTTATACTAGCATATAAGCAGATGTAAAAACTAGAATATTTATATCATATTTAAAAGAGCCTTCGTAATCAACTAATTAATTAGTTATTAGTTTATTCATAAAATATTACAAAGTGATCATAAATTATTTTGTAATATTAAGAAATGAAGCTAATTATTTTCTTTTTAATTGTAGAAAAAATTTCAATTGGAATTTCTTTGAAACAGTTGTTGAATGGTGTTAGAAACTCCTTGACTGACAATTTTGAAAGAATTCATCTGCTAATGAGGCGGAATATTGGCAATGCCTAGCTTTTAAGTATAGTAGTTTATCCATTTCTAAACCTAGTAATGATTATAAAATATCCTTAACTGAGTCTTAAGTAATAACAAGTTAGTTAATTTGCATGACTCAAATGATCATTCATACTGACACAATAATATTTAGAAATAAAAGTATGTTTTGAAATGACATGATGTTATATTATATTTTTAATTTAAAATAAGTAAAAGAATTACATTTATAGCTGACATAAAAGTTTCTAAATTTTTTTAAAGAACTTTTTGACTTCACACCTTCTAGGCAGTATTGTCAACCTCTTCGATTTCCTTTGAAAAATGTATTGTGACGACTTTTTATGCTTCACAATAAATGTCTAAAATGAAAATAAAAACTTTTGTTACATTTTGTTTTCGTTTAAACATGGTTGCATAACATATTTTGTAAGTATCTGTAATTATTTGGAAAACTCAGTAATGTTAATAACACTGAAAAAAAAAAGCTATAGATATCCGGCATGGTATTTCCCTTTTCTAATGTAGTTTGTTATGCTGATAACAAATCTGAAAATCATTTTGCTTGATCAGATCCAATTTTAGAAATTCTGCCAAAAACTAATTTTTATTAAACACAGTTTAATTTTTACACTTTAACTTTTAGTAAATTTAATGGAATACTGCTTAAATGTTATTAGTTTTAATGAAATTTACTTGCATTGGATACAATGACTGCACAGTTTCACCACAGACATATGAAGTTTTTTATGTAATGGTGTTTAGTTTGGATTTTCTTTTTTTTTTTTTTTTTTTGTGGTGAGTGACACTGTATCCTAGAACCATAGGAAAAGTTCTGGAGAAAACGAAATGAGCATCAGGAAAAAAGCATTATTTCATCAATTATGTGAATTTAATGACTAATTTGATTCAGGCTGTAAAACATGAATCCAATAAAATTAAATGTGTATTTAAATGTAAATAAATATTTTTAAAAACGTATAGATAGATATGCAAAGTTAAATGGGAGGCTTACAGAAACCAACTTTTAATGCATATTCCGCAATTGTTTCTCATGAGGTTAATTTTGTGACAAAATAATAACATTGACAAAAATTCCATGTAATACATTTCATTTTAATATCTTTTGAAAAAAAAACATTGATAAAGCATTGCCTTGTCACAATTAGTGTAAGTATTAGAATTCTGGCCCTGTTTAGGAGTAAAAAAAAATTTTAGTTTGTACATGAGCTTCAAATTAATTTCTCAACTTGAATGAAGTTAGATATCTTTCTAGTTTTAAAAAGATATGTAAATTCATTTGAACAACTAAATTCATTTTTTATCTGTACTAGGATAGTCTCTATAGACTAAACAGAATTCTCTTAAGTTAATAGAGTAAAATTCGAACAGTTCAATTTACGTAAAAAGAATATTATAATATTCTTTTTAAGTAAATTGAACTGGTCGAATTTAACTCGAAAATGCACTAAACTAAGATGTACTAGGATAGTCTCTATAGACTAAACAGAATTCTCTTAAGTTAATAGAGNGCGGGGATCGCACTTTTTGTTTTCAGAAAACTGTTTGTTTATTTTAAGTTTCACACATACATTTATACATAGTTAGACATACATAAGTAAAATAAAAATGCATATATTCATAAAATAACTGAAATAGTTTTCTTGAAATAAAAAGTAAGTCCCTCTCACGTTACGCCTAAAATCAGAATCGTAGTTACGCTTAAAAAATATTCAGATTACGGATAGTAAGTAATTTATAGAGTACTTATGCAATTTAAAAATACTGCAAATTATAACACAAATTGTGAATTAGGCTAAAATTTTGCCATTTAACAAGTAAGATTATAATTTTCTTTTTATAACTATTTGATAAATTTACTATTAATTTTATTAGTCTCAAGATACATAACTACATAAGTTTTCAACTGTGTTTATTAGTTTAATATTTTAAAAACCTAAGAAAATGACTGTTCAATAGAAACAATAAAGCAGTTAACTGAATTTTAAAGAAAAGCAGTGATGCAGATAAATAGAACAAGTTATAGAGAGGTTAAGTTTTTATAAGCGACGTAATTAATACAAATAAAGTAATTTATACAAATACTATCACTGTAGACAGTATTTTTTGTTTATGTTGCAAATGTTCACAATGCAATTAAATGCAAGCAATTAAAGAAATATTTCTTTGAATAATTAAAATTGTGAAAAATAATAAAGACAGTATTCACATTTTGCGCAGTTTTGTGGTAATTCTCATTATAATTTGTCTCGCAGTGGTTCCCAGCAGATCACCAAAGTCAAGCATCACTGGCTGCGGTCAGTGTGCGGGTGGGTGACCACTTGGATTAGTCTGCTTAGGGACCGAGGGTGTGCGGTGTTGGTCCTCGTTAAACTGTTCTACCGTAAAGTGTTCGACTTCGCGGGCAGGTCGTCGGGCTACTGAAGCGGGAATGCTATCCCCTATGCAGAGAATCAAAATTGTGATGACATATCTTCGGATCATCCTCAGGTTCCTCCCAGACCGTCGCCAATAGCCCACTGTGCAGCTCTAGTGCGACGTAAATTAACTACAACAACAACTCATTAGAATCTAAGTAATTGACAATAAACTATACTGCTATTACGTCATGGGCAACTGGGGCTGATCTAGAAATGCGGGGGGGGGGGACTAAGCACGGAATTTTCGTAAGCTTCATAATCATTTCCGTGAACCAAATTTGCATGTTTGATTGTCCTCCGGGATGTTTCCCAGACCGTCGCCAATAGCCCATTGTGCAGCTCTAGTGCGACGTAAATTAACAGCAAACAACAATGCATGTTTGATTGTGAATTTTTTTAAATTATTCATAACACAACTAAATTACGATGTATTAGTAAATTTGAGCTTATATTTAATTCAATTTTTGTTATTTTATAACTGTAAAGGATAATTCTTTAGGAAAAACAACAAAAAAAACGTGTTTGTAATGTTACTATACCATCTTATATTTAGAAAAATATTAATTATTTTTATTTTTCTCGTTTTTAACTTTCATGAATTTAAATCAATAAAAACATAAGTATTGTCTTAAATACTGAAGAGTACATTTTCCTATTTCCCCCACCCTAACGGACATAATATTACGTAAACATTTACAAGAAGAAAAAAAAGATATCCCGGGCGAACACGTATGAATACGAAATTTGTCGCCAAAATCATACAAACGGCAGCCAATAGCAACCGTCTCCCTTCCCACAAACAGTGATGTCATTTTCGACCAATAGCGTGATCTGACGCATTTGAGGTTTAATCGCTCGTTATCATTTTCTCACATTTAGCTAAACCACTTTTAGCTGCTTATTTCTGGGCGTTAATGATAGTCCATTTAGAAAAAAGATTCCCGTTTACATGACGTAATTAAACACACGTAATCATTACACGGATGAAGTTACCGAGAAATAAAACCAACCTGTTCTTGGTTTCCCTGCAGATCACCGAAGTCAACCATCACTGGATGCGGTCAGTGTGCGGGTGGGTGACCACTTGGATCAGTCTGTGTAGGGACCGAGGGTGTGCGATATTATTCCATATTAAACTGTTCTACCGTAAAATGCTCGACTTCGCGTGCAGGTCGTTGGGCTACCGAAGCGGGAGTGCCATCCCCTCTGCAGAGGATCAAAATTGTGATGGTTTATCTTCGGATCATCCTCAGGGATGTTTCCCAGACCGTCGCCAATAGTCCATTGTGCAGCTCTAGTGCGACGTAAATTAACTGCAACAACATCTTGGTTTCCCGTCTGTTAATTACGCTTCAGAAACTTCGTTAACCCAATATCAAAAATTTTCGTTAGCCATGCCTTATTTTCTTAAGAGTAAGGGGAAAAAAATGCCACAGCAAAATTTCTCATCACTTTCAGAAAAAAAAATTTTAAGATTGATGTACAGTGAGCAAAAAAAAAAGGAGCGGATTCCACTGAATAACTTTTGCTAAGATCCATTCTCTCTCAAGAAGTAAACGTTAGAATTTATCAGAATTAGACGAGTCAGTAACGAGGACAATCAAGTTTAAGTGGAATTAAAATAAAATAACCCAGCTTATTTGTCTGCTTAAATTCGAAAATAAACCGTACGATTGCCTTCGTTCCAATTTAGTTTTTTTTTTAAATAAATAAACTGATTTTGATTAGTTTAATTCCACATTTACTATGATCGACTACGATTATGATAAAGTACTCGTCTTTCCTTTTTTATTTAATTTGCGATACCTAAAATTTTTTTTACTTCTACAAATATTTTAAAATATCGATACTATGGGCAAAATAAAAAGGGTACGTTTCAATTTAAAGATCAGAGCCTGGTTTAGAAATCAGGAGGTATAAGCACAGAGCTTTCCACGACTCCCAGTCAGTAGTTGTAAACCAAAAGGAAATACATTACAAAATGATTAATTATATAAATTTTAATCAGACGCTAAAACTAGTTTCTTTCTGTATATACATGCCTTTTTAAGGCAGATCTGAATTTTGGAAACGCCACAAATGGTGAAATATGATCACATAGTTGGGCCAAGAGAACTACTAATACATTATAAAAATCTTAGTATGTAATTGTAAAACTTGTTTATCTAAAGATAATTTACTTTGAAATATAATTTTTGAGATCATTATTTTTCAATTTAATAACAATTTTGAAATCTTAAGTATAAAAACTTTTATCTTATTTTAAACTAAATGTAATTTTTAATTAAAATTAGCCTTAGTTTCCAAGTAATGAAATTTTAAATAATGAATCTTCTCTTTTTAAACAATGTAAAAAAATGTTTCAAAATAAATTTGAGAGCATTATTTAAAATAAAATCGTTTTTTAATTCTCGGAAACACAAGTCGCTTTGTAAAAAAATTCTTAATAAAAATGCGCTATTTTTTTTTGAATACACAGAAATGTTTAAAAATTAAAAGCTTCCTTTTTTTTTTTTTAACCTTGGATAAGTATTATTATATTTTTTATTAAGCAAAAGAAAACAATTCTAGACGACTATATATCAATAATTTTTTATATTTACAGCGGCTACCAAAAATGTTCTTATACTTATAACTTTTATCGAAATAAAGCTCTGTTGATTTACTAAGTTTATGGCACACCTATTCTTTCCTATTGAATGCATATAATTATCTTTCGTACAAAAATAATCATTGTTGTATTCAATCTCAAAATCAACTCTTACATGCAAATTTAATAGTTTTTCTTATTTCACGACTACTAACTTTTGAGATATCGAGAGTGTACTGTTAAGTTTTTTCCCTGTTACGATTCTATTCTATAAATAACAATAAAAAAAATTTTACTTTTAAAATCAGTCCTATTTGAGAAATTTCATTTTAGTTAAGCTAAACACTGCTTCACCTTAATACAATTCAGACATTTAAACTAAAGAAAGTTTTATTCACTGCTGTCAATTCTATATAAAATGCATATAACCCAGTTTTATTTACATAAAGGAAATTAAAAATAAAGATTTAAATGTTGAATTGAATAAAATATTTCTTCATACAAAACGATGAAATGCACAACGTAGGCAAAATCTAATTGTCTAAAACATTTATAGCTTTATATGAAGAAAAACATAACCGTTGAATTTTCAATAAAACTTATGACATTTCACTGTTTGGAGATAAATTTTCATAAAAAAGGGTATAATGGAGGACAAAATAACTTAAATTAAAAAATTAGTGAATAATTTATACTAGTAAAATTAAAAAAAATCTGATTTTTTAATATCTAAATTTTCCTGATAATTCCAGGGTACCCACCATGTAGTTTTCTCCTTTTGCATCGGCAAAATGGACAAATACCAAAAATTGTTCTTACAAACGACTCCCTAGCTAATTATGGATATATATATATGTTAAATAAATGTCGCTGTTCTGCCGAAAAGCATTTCAGCGATTAAATAAATATTACTTTATGCTGTACAAAGAGAAAGATTAAAAATTTTTAACAACTAATTTCCGACATAACAAAATTCGATTCAAACACTAACTCATTAGGCCTTTGCAAAGGTGATTTAAGCACTTGAGATAATAAAGCACTTCATTTAAAAAAAAAAAAAAGTAAAATACCTATGGCTAGTCTCACAACCAGTTATAACATTTACACATGATCAGTCATGACCTTCATTGAAAGCAAAATTTTAAAGATCTTACTAACCTAATTCTCAGATAACTGATATACTCTCTCTCGGACAAGATAGCCTTACATAAATGTTAACACCGAACAGGGTTGGAGTTTTTGCCGGCAAAAAGGGGTTTTTGCCAGGACAGTGGCAAAAGCCTGGTAAAAACCGGCAAAAACCAAATTATCTAAATAGCTGATCAAATATTATTACAAAATACTTGAAACAAATTTAAATCAATCATAAAGAATAATTTTGATACATTACATGAAAAAATTATTTTTAACATATTAATAATTAATATAAAGGCAATAAATGACACATTGAAAGTTTTGGACATCTTTTCATTTTAGAATCCTTAAATAAATGTTTTTTTNCTTTAGCTGATGAGCAATCCTCAACATCAGATATGGAAACACTTCCCGACTCTCAGATATTTTTTCCTGAATTTGTGTTATTCCGCTTTTTAAACCTGTCTAACCTGCCATTCGAGCACATAAAATTAGTCTCTATAGATGGTTTTAAAACTCGGTATATGTATTTATTTTGAAGTAGAAATTTCAAAATTATTACAAAAAAAAATGGGGAAAAAATCAGTCGAAGACAGAACAAAGTTCATTATATCCAACTTCCTCACTTTTTTGGTTCACTATACCCACTAAAAATAACATTATACGTATATAGCAAGGTACGGGACCGAACATTTCGTTCACTATAGCGGGGTTTGACTGTATATGTTAAATAAATGTCGCTGTTCTGCCGAAAAGCATTTCAGCTATTAAATAAATATTACTTTATGCTGTACAAAGAGAAAGATTAAAAATTTTTAACAACTAATTTCCAACATAACAAAATTCGATTCAAACACTAACTCATTAGGCCTTTGCAAAGGTAATTTAAGCACTAAAGCACTTTTTTTGAAGAAGAAAAAAAAAAAAAAAAAAAAAAAANAATAAAAAAAAAAAAAAGTAAAATACCTAGGACTAGTCTCACAACCAGTTATAACATTTACACATGATCAGTCATGACCTTCATTAAAAGCAAAATTTTAAAGATCTTACTAATCTAATTCACAGATAACTGATTTACTCTCTCTCGGACAAGATAGCCTTACATAAATGTTAACACCGAACAATTCTTATTTATTATAAGCATCTCATTATTTTCAAAAACAAGTTATAAATGAAATATGCTTTTGGTCCATTCTATTATGATTCATAATTCTTGCACTGGTAAAAAATACTTAAACTGATACACAGACAACAGAATTTTTTTAGATATTTATTTTATAACATCACAAGTTATTTTAGTGGAATAAATCTTGAAGAATGTGTAGCACCAATACCAGGTCTACCGTGCTTAACAGGCTTATATGTGATACTAAATTCACCCAAGTAATGTCCAATCATTTCAGGCTGAAAGAGATGAAACAAACAAGCTAGAAGTTACAATATATATACACACACACACAGAAGTCATCTTAAATATAAGAACACATCGATGTTTAATAATTACAAGATAAGCTTGATAAATTAATTTGACCTTGATCTAAAAAAAATTTAAATAAAGCAGATTTTTTGTTTGTCACTATCAGGCATAGCTGTAAAACTGTGAGGGATACTAAGAATGATAAGCTATGAGTAATAGAGCAGATATGTTTAAAACATTAATGAAACTTGCTTTGTCAGTTATAACAATCAGGGTGCATAGCCAAATCTTTGAATGAAAAATAAGCACTTTTTAAAAACTTTTCAAGCACTTTACAAAGATTTTCAAGCACTCAAAAAATTCATATTCAATCAATGATGTTATTGAACTTTTTATAAACAGTTTTAGCGTTAAAAAAAAAAAACCAAAAAGAAACGGACGTAAATCGGAACAATCAGTACTGTCCCACATCACCGAGTGAATTCAACTTGACCCTGAACTCAGAACAAAAGTACCCTTACCCCCTACGTCAAAAATAGTGTTAGAAGTAAAATAAAAAGAACAAAATTAAAAAGAAAAGCATTTCATAAGGATCTGATATTCTCTATCCGAATTGGAGCACCCGGGTTTCTGTTCCAAGTGCGCGTGCATGCGCAAGTCATAAAGCGGGTAGGACATGAAGTCCGCGTGAATGATTACGTAGCAAACTCCCCATTTTTCGTGAAATGCATGGGATCGACCAGATATCACTGAAGGGAAAAGAAAAATTATTCGAAAAAAAAAGCACTTTCTAAAAACGTTAGCTGAAAAAAGCACATTTAAAAGCTTTTAAAAATGAAATCCACCAAAAAGCACCTTTAAGTACTTTTTACAAACGCTATGCACCCTGACAATAATACCCTCTACTTAATTCAGAATCTATCATGTCAACAAATAAGCCAGACATGAAAACAGTTCTTGTTAAAGATATTTTCATTTTCATAATAAAAAGTAGCAGGAATAAAAAATGAACCTCACACTTTTAAGCATCCTACCTACACAAGACTATTGTATTTAATGAAAAACAGTGCATATTAAATCCATAATGTCCTAAGTTCTCATCTTTATTATTAAAGTATAATTAGTAAAGATAGCAATTTCAAAAAAATAACTTCTATAAATTAATTTGCATAACTTATAAACCAACACAATTCCCCCCCTCTTGTCTGAAAAGTTCAAATGACTGCTAAAAAATAATCAATTAAATGCTATAACATAGCATTCGAAGCAAGCAAATTTGAAAAACTATACAGAAATGGCTGAAAAGGATAAATAACAAGAGAAAAATAATTGGAAAATGACGCACTACGAAAACGTTGCACCAGAGTGATAACTTAAATTCATTTATTGCACAAACATTACTATAACATCAGAATTTGAAGGGGTAAAAAATGACAAATAATCACAGGAAAATAGCGATAGAGTTGATAGTGCCAAAAGTGACACTTGAAAATAATTGGCATTTCTAGTATTTTGCATTACTGCAATACGCGTGACGTAATAATAAATCAAACTTAGACTTCCCATTAAACTACCAGAAATTCACATGTCACAATAACATGATAGATCGCACGCATGCAAAAATAGCTACCATTGATCGGAAACCTCCCAGGCAAACTATTAAAAATGAAATAGCTGAAGAAAAAAAGTTACGGGAGCATGATGACGCTGTGGAATCTGACGGGATGTTTGAATAAAACGTTTTAAAATGGTCACATATGACACCTGAAATTTGTGACATAACAGAGTGCCAATTAAATTTTGTAAAGCCAGGCAGAAACGTCCGAGTTAAAATCAATCAATGAAATAAAGTGGGACAAAACACTTAAACAGTGAGACTAACATACAGACATAAAATTGCAAAACAAAGTAGATCTACAATACATATTTGTTTGAATATGCAGAACTGGAAGTCCAATATAAAAATTAAGGACAAAATTGCCTCCAAACTTAGGACAATTCAAGTATACTGATTCTCTAATGGAAGCAATCTGTATGATAGCAACTTGGATTTGCAGATACACAATTGGTAATAGTTTTAGCAGTTCCTGCACCTAAGTGAAAAAAAAAACCTCCAATTTTTTTCCCTTTCCTTTGGTTTTTTTTACTCAAAAAAGGGAGAAAATAGCCCAAATATGAAGAATCATTAAGTAGCAGCAAAAACGACAATTCTCTTGCGAAAAAGAGTAGAAAATGATAAAGTAAGAGCTTTCCACATATTTCTCCCACATAAAATGCTTTTATGCCATCAAATAAAGGGTAATTGCCTTGAACACCAGAAGTAGACTAATATCATACTTAGTCTCTCATTTTGTAAATTACTTAGTTTCATAGCATATAACATAATCATATATTGTTTCAAAACTCAAAAACTAATCATAGTATCCCACAATAAGTTTCATGATGCAAAAATTTTATATAATAAATGTATTAATCCTATTAGATAGATACAAATAGGTGCAAAAAAATATGGATAATCGTTAAAATGCTAAAAAAATGTATCCAATAATTTTAATTAAACATTATTGAATCAAATAATTTATAAAGAAATCGCAAGTCCGTAAAGTCAAAACTATTTTTCGAAATTGAAACTAATAATCATTTGCACTGAGTCAATTTGCAGCGATGTTTTTTTGTAACAGAATTTTATTAGACCAACTTTTAACACTTCATAAATAAAAAGATAATACAACTGTCAATTCAATGTCTTATAAGCATTTCCAAATGAAATAATGAAATAAAGATTAACAAACACATGAATAAAGAAAATGCCACCATTCAACAGAAATCAGAAGTATTGAAGCCGAATAAATATTCAAAAGCTTAACTTTACATGGCAACCAACGTGCAAATAGACACGCACAAAATATTCTGTATTTGCCAAAACAAGTTTTAAATCCTAATTAAAAATTAGTAAATTTTTTTTAAAAATAAAAGGGATAGGTCAAAAGCGTATTTATTAGCAAGAATAAAACATTCTACACCACTACATAAAACTATAGAAGTAAAGGTATCAATTAAAATTTATAAGCAGAAAATTATATATTTAATACTTTTTAAGTTCTAACATGTAAAAAATATAGATAATTGAATAATATTAATTTAAAACAAGACTAATAAGGATTGCAAAAGTTTTGACATCATTCTAAACTAAAATTTTCCATTAAAATTACTATTTACAGGAAAAAAATATATAAATAAGCATTAAAAAAGATAAGTAAACACATTACAATTTTTTAAAAATCAAAATACCACAATACTGTCAACATTATTATTTGATATTGCTGTCTAATACGACCTCTCAAACAAGAAGGGAGGACTCAATGTAACGACTCAAATAATTAACCAACCATGTAATCAGCAAAATTAGTTATTTACAAGTCTTCTGCAAATTCTAGAACAAAAAGAAATTTAAAATAAATAAAATAACATATTTACCTTTATTTCAACTTGATTGAATGTTTTACCATTGTAAACTCCAACAATTGAACCAACCATTTCTGGAACTACAATCATGTCACGCAAATGTGTTTTTACAACTTCTGGTTTTTCTAAAGGACCAGCTTCTTTCTTTGCCTTTCGCAATTTCTTAATTAAAGCCATGGGTTTACGTTTCAAACCTCTAGAAAATCTCCTTCTGGCTCGGCAATGCAGAAGTTCCATCAAGGCATTGCTGAAATGAATAGAGATGTCAGTGACTTGGCCGGATATCAAATACTTGATGGTCAAACAACATTTACAAAATTGAAAGTTATTGTTAAGTGAAAATTTATGTCACAATTTTGATCAGTTATAAACTGCTTTAAATCTATTTTAATTCAAAAAATTATTTTCCTAAAAAGTCTTTGCTGGCCATTTGGTCAACTATAGCAATCATTATAACCAGGGTTGGCTTTTTGCCAACAGAAACTGGTTTTGCCATGCCAGTGGCAGAAACTGGTTATAATTGGTAAAAACTGGCAGAAACTAAAAAAACTTCTCTATTAGTTCTAGTAATTGCTTAATGACATTTTGTTTAAGTGAACTGAAAAATGAATTAAGTAAAGAGAATCTTATGGCTGTTTATGAAAAAGAAGTGACATACAGATTTAAACAGGCAATTACTGATTATCGATTGCTATCTTATATGCTGCATCCAAAGTATTTGGGATTGAAACTATCATGTGCTCAAGAAGAAAGTGCCAGAATTTTACTCGCCAATATCAATCCAGATTTTGTACCTTATATCATAGCTTTGCAAAACAAATCAGCCTCATTTCCTGAAACTTATTTTTCCAGTCAAGTTTTAACAACTACCCCAGCTGCTACAAGGTGATCCAGTTTTAAAAAATATAATAAGTTTCACAAATCTTGGGTGCTCCTTGATGACAGTGCCTGCTAGTTCTGCTGGACTTGAGAAATTGGTTAGGTTTAGAAACTACATCAAAACATGTCTTTCGTTATAGATTACTGCAGAGTGCAAACAATGATATATTATATTTGATTTTGAATAGTGGTAATTTTGCAAAAAAATTGCACTTTGCTTAACATTTAATTGCTTTTAATATGAATTATCCATTGTTTGTCAATTTCAGTACTTACTTTTAGGTCATTTTCTGAATTTCTGCCACAAATGTGGCAGAAAAGGGTTTCTACCACTGGTTTTAACCACCGCAGCAGAAACTTGCCAACCTTGATTATAACACTATTCTTTTTTTATAAAAAGTTAAAATAATTCTTCAACATAAATGTTTAAGACAGTCTACATTACGCTGAATAGTAATCATAACTATAAGTTACAATCAATATTAAGCGTAACTTAATGAGTTTGTACTAATACGCACTTTATTAGACATTTTAAAAAGTGCTTCCAGAAATCTTAGTCTTAAAAATATATCTTATTATATAGATATATAAATGGCTAACTTATTATACGAACAAATATAACAAAGATAATTAATTACATAAAAAAGTGAGCATTGAGTTATATAACTTCAGAATTTAAACTTACTTGGACATATCAAGGAGCTGATCTAAATCAACACCCCTGTATGTGTATTTTCGGAAAGTTCTTTTCTTCTTCAAAGCCTCTTGAGTTTGCTGCTGTTCCTACAAAATTACAAATAAAATCATAAATTAACATTATCACAGCTTCCAGCACAGAAAGAAATCCAGTAGATTTTATGAAATATAAACTTCATGATTATTGTTGCAAATTAAATATTTTACACCCAGGGAATTTTATAGCCACCAAAATAGAAAAACTGCAATATTTCCCAGTTATAATTTCACATTAAATGATCTTGAAATGTTAGGCATTATGCTTATTAAAATTTTGAATAGTAAATAGGATATAGTAACAGGGGTCTGTCTAGGATTTTCTGAAAGGTACCTATTTTGTGAAAATGTAGGCATAATTTGTGAAAAATTAAAAATTAAATTAAAAAATCAATACAAAAACATTGTAAAAATATAGATTTATCGTTTCTTAAGGGATACAAAAATAAAATTTTAAGAAAAAGTATTTTGTGAAACTACCAGTTTTCCTAAAGTTGAATATGTGAAACTACCGCTTTACCTAAAATTGAATTTGTGAAGGTACCGCTAAACGGTAGTAAATTCGGCCTGGACAGACCCCTGAGTAATATTATATTTTGTAACTGAGGCTCGCTTTATTATGTGTTAGTGACAGAGCCGTGGAATGATGACAGACTCCTGTTTACCTGCCAACATTGCAATCTGCATGACCTTACAAATCTGAGATATTTGATTTCATAATTAATATTATTAAAGGACATTTTTACACAAAATGAAGAATTATCAGTTGCTAAGTTTATATAGCATTTAAAAACACACTAGTCAATTTTGTAGATAAATTTAAAAAATATCTTTTAAATCTTGATTAACTATCTCATTATGTAATTGCTTCAACACAAATACCAGTGTTTTCACCACACCGCGAATATCGCATATTTTTTTTTTTCTCTCAATGAAAAATTATCAACGCGACAAGTTCGCACTCTATCAATTCCAAAATGCGTGAATTTTGGAAAAAATTTCGTCTCTTGCCATTTTGAATAAAATCTGTTTCACTTTTCTTCCTTGATCTTTCATTATTTTGAACATCGGTCCTTGTTATCTAGCTTCCCTATTCACCAGTATTGTTCAGAACCGGTGCGAAAAGCAGAACATCCCCCGAACCCCTTTCTCTGCAACCTTGTGTTCACTGTAGGTAAGGTTTCTTCATGTAAGACATTCACATTTTTTGTGCATGAATGTAAGATGGACAAATACCTTGTAAAGGCGACATCTTCAACAGACAAATGAAAATTAAGCAAATGTCCGTAGAACCGGTAAAAAAGAAACAAATAAGGATATTTTTCAGCCAAATAAACATAATAGCTGATGAAAAAGTAGATATAGACTTCAAAACACAATTTATATTCTACATCAATGAAAAAAAGGAACACTATTAAATCAGAGTTCAATTGAATTAAAAACAATTAGTGTTATTTTGTTATCATATGCAGCAGACTTGGATGCTTTTAAGAATTGTGAAGAGAACTGTGATATAGTGATTTATTATTAATCTGAATTCTATTACTCCAAAAAAATTTCAAGACTGAACTTAGTGTTTAACTAATTAACACGATCTAACGTTGTTTACTAGAATTGTATAGCTCACTGACTTTAAAATGCACCTTTCCATGATAATGGGTACATATAAGATTTGATTATTCTATTAAAATTTAATTCATTTCACAACAATCAAATTACAGCTAACTATAAATTTTTTTGAATGATGCTATTTAAAATGTTTTGAATGCTATATAAACATATTGAAAAATAAACCAAAACTTTTGAATGAAGCTATTCATATCTCTAAAACTACCTTATTGAAAAAAAAAAAAAAATAACTTAACTCTATAATTATTTCAAAAAATTGGAGTTAATTGAAAACTGTAGCAAATTTAGACACCACAATAGCAAAATATTTGTGTAATAGAGAAGTGTTGAAACATTGTTTATAGACCCTCATTTTGTGCATAACTGTTGTTTTTTGAAAACTTGATTAATAGAAGCATAAATCCCATTTCGGTGACATCATTATTTGATCATTTTGCATTATTAATAAAAAATAACTATGTTATCATTAAAATGTATTTTTGTTTTCAACAGAAAATATTTGCAAACTTATTATGGATAATAAGACAAATTAACTTAAAAAACAAGTGGAAAAGAGATATCAATTGAAGTATGTTGGTTAACTGATTTTTTCTTAAGACTGAATTTTAAAACAATAGTTATGATGGCGAAAAAAAAAATTATAGTTCACTTTTCTTTCGCTATTTGGAACATAATTTACATTAATTTAGTACGATATACAATGNTTTCTTACAAGAGTCGAGCGCCTCACTTCTAAAATGACCCTCTAATCTCCTCTAATCTAGAAATCCCGTTAATTCTTTTATTACTGAATAATGTAATCCTAGTAACTACTAATTCATTGTGCAATTATACAAATGTTTGCAATAAATATTTCAAAAACTCTATAATTATTTCAAAAAATTCGAGTAAATTGAAAATTGTAGCAAATTTAGACACCACAATAGTCAAATATTTGTGTAATAGAGCAGGTGTTGAAACATTGTTTATAGACCCTCATTTTGTGCATAACTGTCGATTTTTGAAAACTTGATTAATAGAAGCATTAATCCCATTTCGGTGACATCATTATTTGATCATTTTGCATTATTAATAAAAAGTAACTATGTTATCATTAAAATGTATTATTTTTGTTTTCAACAGAAAATATTTGCAAACTTATTATGGATAATAAGACATATTAACTTAAAAAACAAGTGGAAAAAAGATATCAATTGAAGAATGTTAGTTTACTGATTTTTTCTTAAGACTGAATTTTAAAACAATAGTTATGATGGCGAAAAAAAAAATTATAGTTCACTTTTCTTTCGCTATTTGGAACATAATTTACATTAATTTAGTACGATATACAATGCAAAAATGAAGATTAATTAAGATTGAAATTAAAATCTTACCTCCTCCATGTTTAATTGTCGTTTTTTAGAACGGGATACGGCAAATCGGAAAGGACAACAAAAAATATGTGTAACTTTTAACTTCAACTTTCTTATTAAGTTGTTGCCAAGCAAGTTAGCAACAATAAATCTTTTGATTTCCGGAAATACACTTTTCGCACTTATTCTAAGCAAACTTTTAGCCTTCGACACATATAGAAATAGGCAGCCAGAAGCTGCTGAGACGATGTAAAATTTATTTTCCATCGATTATGTAACACGCAAAATAGTCGTGTAGATTTGAATTGTTTTGTGTGTAAGTAAAATAAAAATAGGAAATAAAATTTTCTGTCAATCTACCACAATGCTATTAATGGATACAATATTTCCTTTTCTTGTTTTATTCATGAAAAAGAAATTTCAACTAGGAATAAGGTTGAATCATGAGCTTCGCAACTCATATTATAAAGTTTACTAGTGAGTTATTTACGAAACGACGCCTATTTGTAACGAATGAATCTAGGCATAAATGCATAGGTGCATTTTAAATTTGTAATGAAAACTTTTTTTAGCTTTGAAAATAAGTTTTCTTGCATTAAATTTGAATATAATAAATAGTATTGGAAATGTATTGTGTTGATGAATGTGCTTTCATGTTGATGCTATTTATTGCAATGGATATCATTTATAAGCATTAATGTTTTATTTCTGATATTAGTTTAAGTTGTGTTTGTTTTTAAGATTAAGGTTTCATCCAAATTTTGGTTCCTGTGGTAATAGTTTTACTTGATTGATTCACATCGAAAGAATGTAGGCATGTCTGTGTTTCGTTGATAAACAAATTATTTTGTTAAGATAAAATTTTGATAAATCAAACTCACAGGTGTTGGAAGTCAGACATAGAAACGTATAAGTCATATTTCTTTTTATATCCAAAGCATTATTGTTAAATTTGTAATGGAATTTTCTGTATTTAGAATTTTAGCATTAGTAATAGAATTTTAGCTTCTTATGGAAAAGCTCATGTTTATGTGTTATTGTTTTCGTAGAATTTTCACGTAAACATTTTCGTCCACTGTATATTATTTTCAACAAATCCAATCAATATTTGATTATTAAATACATTTCTTTTGTGTTTTAAATTTGTTCCCTAGATCCTTTTTATATTTCATAACAGAATTTAAACAATGAATATAGTCCTAGCTTAGTAACTAATCATACATTTAGTTTTTACTATGTTATATTTAATATAAGTTTGATTAAAGGGATTTCAAATATTAAGCCTACAGATCTAGCCGTTGACTGACCTGTGTTGTTAAAACTAGGCTTTCATTGTCTTGAACTTAGGTTGAAATTTGCATTTCTTTTTTTATATTAAATCATTTGGCAACCACAACATAGTAGTGGTATATGGAGATCTGTCTGGATCTGCGGCCCTTTCAGCACACATGCAAATCAATTTCTTTGATTAATAACAGATGATTCTATATAGAAGTTTAGTTTGTGTGAGAGGATTTTAAATAAAACTCAATGGCAAAGGCCGTTGATTGATCTGTGTTATTACAACAAGACTTTCAATGTCTTGAGCTTTTAGGTTAATATTTTAATTCCTTTCATAAGTTTTAACAAAAATAAATTCTTGACTTCACAATATAATGAACATTCTAGTATTAAATTGTGACTTATATATATGAAGATTTTATTTTCTATTGGTAAACTTTTAATTTAAGTTATAGTTCTGTTAAAAAAAAAAAGAAGCATCTTTTATTTACATTTCTTATTATTTCATAACTTTTTTGTTCCAAGGTTTCTTTTTCTTAATGATAATTATTTTTTAATTCAAAGTATTCCTAACATCTATATGTAATAAAATATTTATTTTTTATGACACTAACTTGAGAATTTTTGAAACACTTATTAAAGACTGTTGTTTTACATACCATTTTTTTTGTTATACTACTAAATCTAACTTTCGGTAAAGAGATTTTTAAAAAAAGACATTAGACTATTGACTAACATGTGTCATGTTAAACTTTCAGCTTAATGTTTAAATTTAGGGTGACCTGGGGTAATTCCTGATCAAAAAATGCAAACATCTATTTNAGTCCCTTTGGAGGCAATCCGCCCATCTCAGTCGGGGTCTGCCTCTCTTTCTAGCTCCAGTTGGCCTTGCCAAAAAAATAAAATAAAAGAATGTAAATGTAAATAAAAGATGCCTTTGGCAAGGCATCTTTTATTTACATTTCTTATTATTTCATAACTTTTTTGTTCCAGAGTTTCTTTTTCTTAATGATAATTATTTTTTAATTCAACGTATTCCTAACATCTATATGTAATAAAACATTTATTTTTTATAACACTAACTTGAGAATTTTTGAAACACTTATTAAAGACTGTTGTTTTACATACCATTTTTTTTGTTATACTACTAAATCTAACTTTCGGTAAAGAGATATTAAAAAAAAGACATTAGACTATTGACTAACATGTGTCATCTTAAACTTTCAGCTTAATGTTTAAATTTAATTTAAAAGTTTGAATTTAAGCATTTCTGACAACTACAACTCAGTAGTTATGACAGAGAGATTTAACTTAATATGAGCACACACCATTATTTTACATTAAGTACAAATGGTAGTTAAGTTTATCTGAAAAGATTTTAAATTTAAACCTGTGATGGCAAATGTTTCAGTCACTATGTGTTGTTATATTGAGACAAATTTTAATTAAAATATTTCTGACCAGCATAGAAAATTTATTATAGCAACAATGTCTGCAGATTTCATTATTGGTGAATTTCTCATTTAAGACTTATTCTTGCATGTAATTAAATAAAAATTTTATAAACTTTTTGATTAGTTCACCTTTACAACGAGTTTTTTTGTTTGTACTTTACATTAAAATGTTATTGCTGCTTTAAAACGTTTTTTACTGATTGTATAGTTTTGATGGGATACTAAAGCTCTCATTTATAACAAAACAAATCTATAATAATGTCTTTGCCTCTTTTTAACGCAAACTCATTTAAAGTATATGTACTGGTGAACATTTATGCGTCTTGAGTTTATTTGCCATCAAGCTAATCACGAAAAAAAAAAAACAGCTTTTTCACTTATGCAACATCTTTGTTAATTTCATTTAATAGATTTACAAGTTATCTATTTATATATATTTCTCTTATTTTGCACTATAAACTACTGTATTTCTCTATCTATTGACTCTATACTGCTGCACGGTATTTCACTGTAGATTTTAAACTATGTCAGTGCTTCACAGTTGATTTTGAGAAAAGTAGCTTTGCACTTATTTTCTTTCTGTTGATAATACTACTACTGCTAAAATAGAACTTTAAATAACTGATTAAACAAAAATTAATTTTGAAAAAATTATTTTTCAAAAAATAGCTTATACAGAAATGCCAAGTATTTAAAAGTATCAATTATGGATTTTTTGTTGCTTACATTGATTTTCTCAATTCACCCTTAGTAATAATTTAAGTAAGTTGTCTTTAATAATTTAAATAGTGTTGAACAGTTAGTTATGCGTTAAGTATTTATTTAGAATAATTTTGTATTTTAATAAAAATTAAAGCCATGAATATATTTATGAGAATTTTTATGGAAATAGGAATGCAATGCATAATAATAATAGTGGCATTCAATTATGGAATGATAAAAATGGAATTCAATTATGGAACTCACGCTAGAGAAATTAATAAAAAAAATATAAATAACGTAAGCTTTCCTACATTTAAAAATCTAAAACCATTCTATATAAAAAAATTGATTCAACATTTCTTTCACATTAAATTGAATCATACTTTAAAGTTGAGAAAAATAGGAAAGAATTTTTTTTTTGTATTTATAACGCAGAATTTAAATAAGTAATATAGTCCATTCCACCTTAAGTTGGCACTGGAGAGAAAGGTAGGAAATGTAATATTCCGCCTTTGAAAAGTAGTTCTTCGCTATTTTGGAATTAATTGCAGTTTAAATGCGCGTACAAATATAAATAAATGTTGCATAGTAAGAAAAGTATATCTTGAAACATTCATTAGAAGTTTTTCATGTTTAAATGTATTTAACTTATAAATACCTTCTCAGTAAAGCGAATGTACAAAGAAGAAGGAGGTGTTTTAGTTTGGCGCTGAATTAGTTTTCAAGGACAAGGAATTGGCTCATTGGCTATGTTTCTACACTGGTCAGTCAGCTTTTCCATTCGCCTTGGCTTTGCTTAAGTGTC